AACAATAGCTTAGTCATTCAAATTCTGCCCAATATTTTCATGATGCATACTTTGGCTTTGGTGGAACAAGTCAATTGACAGATTGTAAAAACAAGTCAAAATATACTCCTTGCTAACATATTACATTAAAATTTCTCCCTCGAATGAATCCTTTTGTTTTTAAAGTAATCTCTACGAAATAGGAAGATATCTTGAATAAAGGAAAGTAGCTAATTTTATATTTGATTTTCTTAATGATTCTAATATATTAACGAATTTGTGTTAAACTAATAAGAATTATCTCAAATTTTTTTAAATTTTAAGATAAATTTGTCTACATTATAGATAAAAAAAAATCAAAATATGTTTGTCAATATAGATAGACTTTTTTTTTTGTATTATTGACAAATATATAGACAATAAATCAATTTATAATTTTATAGACTAATTTTACAGACTCATTTTTTTGTACATATTACAAACGGATTTATAAACTAATCTTTCTGTTTGTAATTTTAAACTAAGGCGAGAAATATTAGGCACAAATTATAGATAGTAAAATCCATCTATAATTGCATAAATGAAAAATAGTATTTCAGGGATAGAGTTATAGGCATATTTTTCTATCTATAAGTCAATTAATAAAATGTTACGTTTAATTAATGCACTTATAAACAATATAGACTTATTCCTTTTCTTCTTCATTTCTTTATTTTCTTGTTTCTTTGATCTCTCTCTACCATTTTCCCTTCTTTGCGCATTGCTAATGGTTTAAGCCTCCATTTTGCAAACAAATTGTGTCATTATATTTTTGTTATTATACTCTAAATTATAATCAGTTTTATTTTTCTATTTTTGGTGTACGATATATACTTATTTGTTATAAATTATTTATTACATATGAATCACACGAGAGAAAGTGCTAATTTTGAACGTCCTGCGAGATCATTTTTACCCAGATGCATTGATATTTCCCTTTTTTCATTATAGTTATTGGCGGGGGAAAGGGTGAAGAAAATTAATTAAATATTTGTAATTAATTCTCTCTTCTTTATTTCTTTTCTTATTGTTTAGAATGAAAATATTTTCAATTAGAAAAGATAAAGAATAAAAATGGATTCAGCCTCAATAAAACTTGAAATTGGTCTAAGCTTCAATGGAATTGAATTAAGAATTCAATTCCATTTCTGATAATAATAAATAGAGTGAGATCAAAAATAAAAATGGAATGGATAGGAAGGGGGCAAAATATCATACAAGATACTTAAATGAAAATTAAAATATTGTACTATGATTTGAAAAGAATTATAGTTTCAAATCATGATATTACTTAATGATTAGTACTACATTAATTGAAATGAAATCTTTCATAATTTTATTTCAAATTATTATTTTTTAATATTTTTCATTCCTTTTGTCTTCTTCGCTTTGACTTCAAAAATAGAGGAGTTAAGTGAATTAAAAACCAAAGGAGAGGTTCATGGCCAAGAGTAAAGATATCTGAGTAACTTTTATTTTGAAATATACTAGTTGTGATCAAAAGAGTGTTAATAAGGAATCAATGGGTACTTTCAATTATATTACTCAAAAGAATCGACACAATGCGCCTAGTCGGTTATTGAATACATCTTGTGATTCAGGAGGAGGTTGAATCTGCAACAATGAAAGAGGGAGAGTCACCATGAATCATGTATCAAGTTAAAGAAAAGTAGAGTTGTGGAGGGACAATGATGTTAAAGTAGAAGGAAAAAAAATATTGGAGTGTTTGAGAATAAAAAGTGTTGTTTTGGATAAATGACGAGTGAGATAAGTGGTAGAAGATGTTTTTAATGGGGTGATATAAGAACTATGAACAAAATAATTGTTATAAATTAATTTATCACAGAAAAAAAAATTTGTCTATAGGTTTACTAATAATTTTTTTTATATGTAAATCTATCTATAAATTATAGATAAATTTTATTAGTTTATAACACTTAAATTTATCTATAATCATTATAACGTAAAATTATGGTAGTGAATCTATTCTTTACTATTGCCTTAGTACCTAGTTACAGCTGTTTACGTGAATCTTTTTTTTTTCTTAAAACGAAGCTTATTCAAACATGCACGTAACTTTAAATTTCTCCTATTCTTCTTCCCTCGTCCAATAAAAACGAAGAACATGGAAGGTACTTTTGCTGCTTCCTCCAAGATACAGTGGAACAATCATCACCATCTTTTCCACATTTGCAAAGTTTGTGATTCCAATAGTTGCCAATACCTTAGTCACTCAAATTCCACCCAATTTTCATGATACACGCTTTGGTGTAACAGGTCAATTGACATATTGCAAGAACACCTCACTTATTACATTAAATAGGAAGATATCTTGAATAAAGGAAAGTACCTAATTTTATATCTTATTTTCCTAATTATTCTAATTATTCTAATATATTAACGAATTTATGTTAAACTAATAAGAATTATCTTAACATTTTATATTATTTATTTATCAAAATGATGAACTTTTTTATTTTATGTCTTGCGTGTTTGGATTGGGAGTGAGTGGCCGTGTAACGCGCCATCTACCAATAATAAATGCTTTTCTATTTTGTGTTGCGCCCAATATTCCTTTCAATATAATTAAATTTAATTCTTGCTTAATATGATTTTACAATCTCTTGCACGTGGATCATTAATTTTAGACAAATAGACAATGCAATTAATAGTTTAATTAAAAAAACGTTAATATCATTTTATTTTTTTAAGATAGTAGAATAATTACATATTAAAAAATATAGAATATACTCTCAAATTTACAGATACCACGCAACAAGTACTTTCATATAATTAATTTTATTTTTAACAATTAATAATAAAAAATATAATTTATTGATTCTTTTAAAACAAATATATTTAACTAATAAATTATTTAACTATAATAGATTATATCAATAAATATATTTATTTTATTAAAATATTTTTAAATAGTTATTTATTGTATATTTTAATTGATTGATAGTATTAAAAAAAATAATGATACAACAAAATTACATATAAATTATTTAACATTTCTAAAAAATTATCAAAATAAATTTAAAATGTTTAAAGGATAGTCTTTTCTTTTATCTAAAGAAACCTAAATAAAAATTATTTCATACTTTATTTTTATTATGACATAATATAACATATTTTTAATCTTATTTTTTTTAAAAAAATATTGGTGGCATTATCACTTATGAATTATTACAAACTCATCTTTAAGTTGAATAGTCTATTTATTATAATAGAAAATTTTCACTCAATCTTGTCTTTTTTTCTTAAATTATTCTTATAAAATAAAAAAACCTTGAAATTTTATAAATAACAAAAGACTAATATAAAGTATAATGAAATAATTTTTTTAGAATGAATAATTTAAAATAATACAGAATACTAAGAGATATTTTTTTATAAACATTTTTGTCGCAATAAATATTTATTTTATCATAAATTATAGTACTTTAAATATTATATATATATATATATATATATATATATATTCCTGTTATTTTGATTACACATTTAAAATATGTATAGTAGTTAAAGAGAGAAAAACATGAAAATGAGGATAACGTTGTAATCAAAATTATGAATTAATTTTATAATTTTAATATATTCTAAAATGCATATATCATATGATTGGTTGTAAAAAAATTATAAAAATATAAACTATAATTTTTGTATACACTATGATTTAATAATTATGATAAATTAAAATATAATGAAATACAGTCTTGATTACTGGTTTAATGAAATAATTTTTATATTATAGTAAAAGAAATTAATTATTACAACATGAGTAAAAATTTTGTGATATTATTTTATCATTTTAATTTTAATATTATATTTATAATAATTATTATATTTAAATGTATGATAATTGAATAATATATATTATAATCAAAGAGAATAAAATATGGTAATTAAAATTAAAGTCTTAATCTTACAGTTGTAAAATAGAGATAGAATCTTGGATAATATGATAAATAATAATAATAATAATAATAATAATAATAATAATAATAATAATTCTTAAGATATTTTAAAAATTCTTAATCTTTGTTGAGAAAACATAGAATTAAAAATTTAAGTATTTTATCAAAATTATATATAATATTGTTTTAATTACAAATTTAATAGAATATTTTTATTACACTATATAAAAAATAATAATCTATTTTATAATTTCAAATTAATGAAAAAAAGTATATTAATATACATGTATCTTATTAAGAAAAAATATATTTATTCGGTATAATTAATAATTAATTTATATTAAATGTTACGAATTCATACCTATATAGGGTAATAAAATAATTATTGGTTGATTCTAAATAGAAATACAAGTTATAATTTTTATCCTCTATAATATAATAGTGATAATAAATTAATATATAGAATAAAATAGTATGTTGATGAATGATTTAATGGTTTTTTAAATTGTAGCAAAAAAAACTTTAATTATTATACGAATAAATATTTATATTTTATTTTTAATATAATAATTACTATGTAGTATCATAATAATACTTATATTTGTATGGATAATATATATTATAATTGAAAAGAGAAAAGTGTGTGTGAGGAGAGGTGTGGATAAAATATATTTGTTTATTTATCAAAATGAGAAATATTTTATTATGTTGACAGCAGGGAATTGCCAAAGTCTATTCTGCGTTGGACTGAACCTTCGTTTGAATAGAATAAACTCCAACATGTGCGACGCATGGTGCATGCATATGGTTAAGCTTAGAAATAAGATGAAACTTCAGTTACGTGAGTAATAGTCTTTCTTCTTTCTTCCTTTTTTGAAGATATCAAACTCAATTGAACAGTGAAACTAAACTTATACTGCACGTTCATGAAATTTATATTGGGAATAACAATTCTTGTTTTATCAGCGTGACTGATAAAGTCCCTATAAATATTCTTCTTAAGTTGCAGAGCATAGTATCACAATAACTAGTTGCTGAGTTGAGCGTAACAGGGATACATATATGGAGACATGCAAGCCTTTGTTGCGTGTAAAAGAGAGAACCCTTGGCCACCATGTTGCACGGCGACTAGTTGAAATAGGCCTAAACGATGTGTTTGCAGTTCCCGGAGACTTCAACCTTACCCTGCTTGATTATTTGGTAGCAGAAAGTGAGCTTAACCTCATTGGGTGCTGCAATGAGCTGAATGCTGGGTATGCTGCTGATGGGTATGCCAGATGCAAAGGAGTTGCTGCATGCGTTGTCACCTTCAACGTTGGTGGCCTTAGCATTCTCAACGCCATTGCCGGTGCTTACAGTGAGGATCTTCCAATCATTTGCATTGTTGGGGCTCCAAATTCTAATGACTGTGCCTCCAACAGGATTCTTCACCACTCCATTGGGCTACCAGATTTTACCCAAGAACTACGTTGCTTTCAGCCTATAACTTGCCATCAGGTACCCTACATATATATATATAATCAAGTTGGCATATATATATATATTTAATATTGTCATTATATATATAAGGGTTATTAATTTGATACACATGAACGCGGAATCAAACACTTTTAAATGGATCTAAAATTTTATAAATATATATATTTTTCAATCTAATGGTTATGTTAATATAAGTTGATTTAATCTCATATTAATATTTGTACAGGTATATACGATCAAATTATATTAATATAAATTACATACAAAATTATATTATTTAACAATTTTTTATTACAAAAATTCTAAAATCAATCGTTAAATTTAATTGTATAAATTATATTAAGTAAAAGTAATTATTTAATATCTCATTTTTATACATTAAAATTAACGCAATATATACTTTTAAAATATATAAAAATAAAGTCTCATTAATTATACACTTTGATAACATTTGAAATAATAATCAAAGTAATATATTATTATATTTTAATGATTGATCTACAGAAAATCACATTTTATATAAAATTATTTACGGTGTAACTTTTGGTATAGGTTATATTGGTTTAATTTCATCTCTTTCATATATGTGTTTGTACACGTTAGGACTACACCTTTTTTAACACTTGTCTTTATTGGTTATAATTTATCAAAAATTATTAAATTAAGAGTAAATTTTATATAATTACTTTAATAAATTTCAATTGATAAGTAAAAGTATATCATGAGTATTTCATCATGTCATTATATATATATATATATATATATATATATATATATATATATATATATATAAAAGAAAGTTAAGATCCATTGACACCGTATATCAAATTTAAATACTTAGACAACTTAATAACTTTTTACAAAATATAATATTAATCAATCTAAATATTGGTTTGAAGGTTTTTTTATTAAGTAGATTGATTTTATATAAAAATATAAATAAATATTAAATTTTAAATAATATATTTATAAATATTTAAATTACGTAAAATTTAACGTACATGAAGATAAAGATAATATAAAATTATTTAATGGTTAAATTATTCAATCTAACCTTTTTATATATAAAAAGAAAATATTAAGCGAATGAACATTTGAGATATAATTTCACGAGAACAGTTGTTAGTTTAAAATAAAAAATGTGGTGTGAATTTAGAAATGAATTGCCATTTAGATTCTTATATTGGTTACGTATATTACTGTAATTTCAGGCAGTAGTAAACAGCTTAGATGATGCGCATGAACGGATTGACACTGCCATTGCAACTGCATTGAGGGAAAGCAAGCCTGTCTATATTAGCATCGCCTGCAACTTGTCTGCCATCCCTCACCATTCCTTCATCGATCAGCCTATCCCATTTTATTTGACTCCCAAGTAATTAAACTATGTGAATGTCATTTTCTTATCAAGTTAACTCCTGTATACATGCCAATCTTTATCTTTCTCGTTCAATATTTTCATATTATTATTATCGTGGAGGAAAATGGATTTTATTATTTGTAATTTGGAGTCATGGTTTGTTCCTTAGGTTGACTGATCAAAGGTGTTTGGAAATTGCGGTGGAATTGACATCAGAGTTCCTAAACAAAGCCGTGAAACCAGTGATGGTGGGTGGGCCAAAGCTAAGAATGGCAAAGGCTTGTGATGCTTTCATGGAAATGGTAAATGCTTCGGGTTATGCCGCGGCAATGTTGCCTTCAGCAAAAGGGATGGTGGCAGAACAACACCCCAACTTCATTGGCACTTATTGGGGAGCAGCTAGCACTGCCTTTTGTGCAGAAGTTGTGGATTCTGCTGATGCATACCTTTTTGCTGGTCCAATATTCAACGACATTAATTCTTTGGGTTTCTCACTGCCGCTTAAAAAAGAGAAAGCAATTGTAGTGCTGCCTAATAGTGTAGTTATTGCAAATGGACCTACTATTGGCTGTGTTTCAATGAAGGACTTCTTTAAAGCACTTGCAAAATGCCTCAAACCCAACACTACTGCTTATGAGAACTATAAGAGAATACACATCCCAGATGGCCTTCCCCTTCACAATAATCCAAAGGAAGTATTAAGGGTCAATATTTTATTTGGTCATATACAGAAAATGTTGTCCTGTGACACCACTGTGATTGCTGAAACTGGAGACACTTGGTTTACTTGCCAGAAGTTGAAGTTGCCACAAGGCTGCGGGTATTATAAGCGATTTACATATATATACCAGTTGAATAATATAATATATATATATATATATATATATATATATATATATATATATATACACTAATACTAATATAGGGTACTTTACAGGTATGAGTGTCAGATGCAGTATGGATCAATAGGTTGGTCAGTTGGTGCAACTCTTGGCTATGCACAGGCTGCTCCACAAAAGCGAGTGGTTGCTTGTATTGGTGATGGTAGCTTCCAGGTGAATCAATTTGACTGAATGCTTGCTTTGATCAAATTTAAGCTAAAAGTGGCATTAACTAATTTTTATCTTCAAGAATGAAGACCTTAGAAATTGATGTCATATGTCTAACTCTTTTTTACTTTTAATTTGGAGTTTGAAGACTGATTAATAACAAATTGATTCAACGTCATTAGTGTCAATTGATAAGTACTTAATTAACAAATTAGATTTCATGCACCGTAGATGACGGCACAGGAAGTTTCAACAATGTTAAGGTGTGGACAGAATGGCATCATCTTTCTAATTAACAATGGTGGATACACAACAGAGGTGGAAATCCATGATGGGCCTTACAATGTCATAAAGAACTGGAACTATGCTGGAATGGTCGAAACAATAGATAATGGAGAAGGCAAATGTTGGACTGCCAAGGTGAGACATTCTTAATTGAACACTTGGACTTTGGAAACAATAAACAAGCAAAATGTAAATAAGACTTCAATCAACTATCTAAGTACAAAACTAAGGGTGGCCACATTTATAATATATGATTCTAATATCACCAAGTTATTGATGTACATGAAGGTGCACTGTGAAGAGGAGCTAATAGAAGCAATAGAGACAGCAACAGTAAGCAAAAAGAATTGTCTATGCTTCATTGAAGTGATTGTACACAGGGATGACACAAGCAAGGAGTTGCTTCTACTTGGATGCAGACTTGCAGCTCTCAATGGCCGTCCACCTAATTAAGGATCACTTAGATTGCAATATCTGTATGGTTTTTCTAGCTTAAAAACACAATAACAATTTTTATATAATAATTGTTTTTATAAAACATAATCATATATTACAAAATTTAATACATTTAAATGTTATAATATTTAATAAAGAATATTACCCGAAAGACACGTTAAAAATATCGATATATATATATATATATATTTGTATTCATATATAATATCGTGATATTGTTGCAGTTGAACAAGTGGGTGTGGATGTTGTAAAACGTAGAAAATTGGTGGTCGCTGTCTCAGACTCGATAGAGACAGAAGAAAAACAATGAGATTAAAAGATGTCCTACGAGAATCAGTATTCAATAGCACTTACTAAGAGCAAGATTAACAGCATTTCATAGTCGTATATTGCCTCAGATTTCTGAAAAAATAAAATTATGTGTAATATTAAACGGATGTTTTTTTTTTTTATTCATATGGCTGTAATTTAATTATAATTAAATTAATAAACCATGAACAATTTTTAAAAGTTATCCAACCCTTTTTGCAATGCTTCTATGTATTGTAAGTCTAAATTTATTGAAGTGTGGGTCTTAGACAGAAAAAATAGACCCAAATAATCCATGGACATAGAATTGATTGATTGCAGAATATGGTACAAATCTTACCAATTTGATTCTTCTTATATTATTGAGTAATATAATATTATTAAATTTTAAAATATAATTTTTTTCAAATTTATTTAATAGGTTCTATAATTAATTATAATGATTTTTATTTAATAGAAAAAGTATATATTAATTTCTCTAACTTAACGTATTAAGTTACTTAACTTGAGGAGATTCAAATTTCAAATCTTATTACAACTTTATAAAAATAAATGGTAACTAGTACACTTAAGAAATAAAAAATTTTATTAAAAATAATTTTAACGTATCTCATATTTTTTAATATAATTTAACATGATTTTTAATTAAAAAATTAATTTTAGCTGTTTTAGCCAAGATTTTAAAGATAGTAGTCAATTAAAATCCTTTCATAATTGCTCAATATAAAGAATTTATAATTGCTAGAGGATACCTATAATGTACGAACATGACACTTATCATAACATAAACTTGAAATCCATTAAATTTGAATATTATAAAGTATAATTATAATATAACATATAATATAAATTTGAATGACATCCAGTATATATAAGTAAAAATTATTCAAATAAAATCATACAAAATTAGAATACCAAAAATAATTAAAAATACTAATAATAATTATAATAAATTTTTATATTTATTTGTTAAAAATATAACCTTTATATGAAAATAGTTGTACTTATTTTTTAATTATGTAAAAAGTGATACATTAAATTTTTATGTAAATCACACTTTCAAGTTACAATTTTTGATGGAGCAAAATGTAAATAACTCATGGGTTAGGTTACATAATTGTTAATGATTATTAAGAGAATCTAACCAATTATATAAAATATTAATTTTAGTTTCTTTCTAAAACAGTTCCACAATATTTTACATAGATCTGTATTAAGTGTTCAAAGCCTATTAATAATTGATCACATAATTAATAAGCTTAAATATCTCTAAATAAATCATAATATTAGTTTACTTTTTTTAAAAAAATTACAATTAATCATGTTTACAGTAATTTTTATGAAAAAAATTTTAAGATTCTTCCACTTTGATAAAATTGACTGTGTAGTCTATAATTTTTAAAAATTAAAAAAGAAAGATTCTTAAATTAATAACATGTTGTGATGATAATAGAGAACAATTAATTAAAAGTCTATCTAATAAAATCAAATAATATCGAATGATGAGTTACAAATATAATTTGTGGACTAGTTATAGATACGAAGTTAAAGGTTAAATCGAGGATGCTGTGTGAAAAGGCAACAGCCAATGGCAAAAGCATGTGGGGGAAGGAGTCGCAGGCTACGCGGCCCAACTCTCACCATGCAATTCACAAACACACTCTCTTTCACAAACTTATAAATCATTCATTCATCAACACAAAAATAAATTATCCACAATTCACCCAAACCATATCTCATTAATTAAGTACCCAAATCTTCAATATCGTTGGCCCCAACAAAAACTTCAAGAATCACCCTTTTATCTCCATTCCTTGATTTTTCAAGATTCCACACTTTTGTGAACCAAAATAAATAACAACAAAGAGAATAAATCACTACATTGTAATTCCTTAAATTATGAGCTGTTCATCTGTTCATACATTTATATATGTTGTCCATAAGTTAAAATATCTTTAAATTCTATTCATTTTAGTCGAGTAATTCAATAAGCTTTTCCGCTTTGCAAATTACTCAACCAAACATGCTGGACAGTCAATTACTCAGAAAGAGGAAAACTTAAAACTTACTTAGGATTTTTAAGGGTCCTCTAATAATTATAACACCTAATTGATGAATAAATTTTAGTTCTGCTAGTGTCGTACGTAGAAGACTCTTGTAGTAGTTGAGTTTTAATATTTGATTGATCGTTGAGATTGCTTGATTTATTTAGTGCATGGCCAAACTAAAACCATCCATTTCTTGCGGGACACTATTTCGTGGTGACAACCACCAAATTGGAGTACAACTTAAAAGAGACAAACTGACACTACTCCCTGCAGGTCTTGCAATTCCATAAATTAAATACACAACATGCCAAAAGATTACATTGATACTACAAAACATAAACAATGCACAATTTTTATTTTTCAACAATTATATTTAATATTCCGCTGTATTTTTTTTATATATATCCTTTTATTATTTTATAAAGTATAATATTAAACTTTATTTTTGTCATTATCATAAGTTTTACATTCTTTCTCCTCCTCATGCACCCAAAAATAGGTTACATGCTAATATTATTCACTGATTTAAAACAAGTTTCGGATTTTTGTTTTTGCTGATGTGTCATATGTAGTTATTTTCTGTAATTCCATTTAGTAAATTCCTCAGTGCAGCTTTTGCTTTTTCTCAGACACGTAGAAAAATGTACAACAAGTAACAACCATTGGAAGTGAAGATAGGGAGAAATTTATCACATAAAAGTAAATATAGAAAAGGAGTATGTAACTTCTTGAAACAGTTTGTGAAACCCACATGGATGCTTATTTTCTTACAATAGTACATCTTATCTTACACCAATCATTCATTTGCAATTCCCAAATATACCAAACAGTTATTAGTTATTGCAAAGCTCAAAGGTTGTGAAAACGCCAATGGTCCATGATGGTATCAGTAGGACGAAACATATAGACACAAATCATAGTCATTTTGCCTCCCATTCACTGCCACTTGTTTTTCCTTTTACTTTTTTTTTTTCTCTATAATTTATTGTCGTTTATAGGAAAAGAGATATGTTTATGCTAAGAGAGGTTTTCTCTTTTTACCTTGGCTCTGATTAGGCCTTAGAAAAGCCAAATTGTGTGTTCATTGGTAATCAAATGGACATTTCGTAAACCCCAAATCCTGTTATTGAAGTGGAATTTTCATGGTCAAAGGAATGTTTTTGGGATGTAACAAACTCAGTAACCCAAAATAATAAGAAAACGAGCTGAAAAGGAAAAGACATGTAAGGTGAGTGGTCACTACTGAGGCATAAATTAAGAAACTGAAACTGGCTGTCTTTATACATTGACTCAGAGAATTAGAGGGTACCATACCAATTACCAAACATCCAAAGCTTGAAGAACCAGAAACAAAGATGATCAAATCATTCACAAATCACAAATAAAACTGATTGTGCCCATTTCGGCACAGCCTGTAAGAGGTCCTCCAATTTTTCTTAAAGAAACCGACAATTTTAACATAACTAATAATTCCAACCATCCCATGTGGCTCACTCCTCTCACTCAACTCTGTGTCAAGTCACTCTACTCTTTCTCTTCCCCCCAAGTTAAAGGCACTTTCCTAAGAAAAATCTAAAGCAGTGCATTCTGTGAATCTGGTTTCCAGCATGTGGGAATCGGAGAGCGAGTCAAGAGCAGGATTCCCATATGGGGATGGACTTCTTTCTTCAAGCAAACATGGTGTCAAAACAGAAGGATTTGTGCAAAGAGGCCACTCTTCGTAAGTTAAATGCAGAATTAGTGGTACCCTTTGAACCATGTTACAACCACTAATCTCCTGTACTTGTTCTAGTGAATCAAAACAAAATTTTAGGACACACTGCAGAAAATAATTTTTTAGACTATTGATTTATCCATTTCATACCGTGAACAAGCTTGATTAAAAGAGCTTTTAAGGTGAGTTGCTAAAAGTCTATTCTTTTTTTATGCAGGTATGTTGCAACTGATATTCCTAGTGACTTTCTAGTTCAAATTGGAGAAGCTAACTTCCACTTGCATAAGGTAGCTTTCTGTTTTTATTAACTGAAGTCGGAATTTCATAAATTATGTTGTTGTACATTAAGAGATCGGATAGTACTCATTTTTGTACTGTTGAATTTTGCGTCTTTTTCTTTCCCTTTGGTGTGAAAGTACCCCTTGGTGTCTCGAAGTGGAAAGCTGAGTAGATTCATATATGAATCACACGACCTAGATTTGAATAAGATAGTTATGGATGATATCCCTGGTGGGCCAGAGGCTTTTGAGCTTGCAGCCAAGTTCTGCTATGGAATTGCTGTTGATTTAACAGCAGGCAATATCTCAGGCCTAAGATGTGCTGCTGAGTACCTTGAAATGACAGAGGACTTAGAGGAAGGGAATCTTATATTCAAGACAGAAGCATTCCTTAGCTATGTTGTTTTGTCTTCATGGAGAGACTCTATAGTAGTGTTGAAAAGCTGTGAGAAACTGTCACCATGGGCTGAGAACCTTCAAATTGTTCGCAGATGCAGTGAGTCCATAGCTTGGAAAGCTTGTGCTAATCCAAAAGGAATAAGGTGGTCCTACACTGGAAGAACAGCAAAAATTTCCAGCCCAAAATGGAATGATATCAAAGACTCAAGCCCAAGTAGGAACCAGCAGGTTCCTCCTGATTGGTGGTTTGAAGATGCCTCAATTCTTAGGATTGATCACTTTGTTAGAGTCATCACTGCCATCAAGGTAAAGGGCATGAGATTTGAACTGATTGGTGCTGCAATAATGCATTATGCAACTAAGTGGCTACCAGGATTGATCAGTGAAACAGCAATCCAAGGTGATGAAGGAAGCAATTGCAGTATCAGCAACAGTAGTAGTAGTGGTGGCAGTAGTTGGAAAGGTGGACTTCATATGATAGTGACTGGCACTGGAGATGACAGTTCAAGCCTTCAAGCTAGAGATCAAAGGATGATAATTGAGAGCCTTGTGAGCATTATTCCACCACAGAAGGACAGTGTTTCATGCAGCTTCCTTCTTAGGCTCTTGAGAATGGCAATCGTGTTGAAGGTTGCTCCAGCACTTATTACTGAATTAGAGAAAAGGGTGGGAATGCAATTTGAACAAGCTACACTGGCTGATCTTCTAATTCCTTCTTACAATAAAGGAGAGACTGTGTATGATGTGGATCTTGTTCAGAGGCTGCTGGAGCATTTTCTTGTTCAGGAACAGACTGAAAGTTCCAGTCCAAACAGACATTCCTTCTCTGATAAACATGTTGCATGTAACCTAAATGCCAAAGCAAGAGTGGCAAGGCTTGTTGACAGTTATCTTACAGAGGTGTCCAGAGATAGAAACCTTTCCCTCACAAAGTTTCAGGTACTTGCAGAAGCTTTGCCTGAGTCAGCTAGGACCTGCGACGATGGACTTTATAGAGCAATTGATTCCTATCTTAAGGTAAACAATTACTGCTTCTAAGGAAAAATAGAACAAAAATGTTATTTAGACTCGATTTTATTTTAATGATTTTAGCATGCTTCTTGTTCTCGTCATAATAAAGGGAAAATTTGATTGGTGGTCCTGTTTTTGCAGTGGCAATACATTTTATCTATAAAATACTGTTTACTGATTCTCCCATAAACAAGACTTAGGATATGAGGTGCCATATACAGAAGGCTAGCTTTATATTTTGAACGTCACAATTTTTTTAATGATTTGAATTACTTAAGAGTTACTCCTCATTATACTTGAAATTTTGGATGCACTCTGAAATTTGAAATAAAAACTGGATTTCATGCTACCGTAGCTTGTCTCTTGTTCTCATCACAACAGAAACGTTGATTGGCGGATTTTTCTTTTGGTAATACATTTGATTGATAGAACATTATTCCTTAAACAAGATTTCGGGTATGTGGTGATATTTACTATACAGCAGATATATCACCCACAAACACAAGTTAATTTTATATCCATTAGTTTGGCAAAGAAGAAGAAAAAAAGAACTGAGAAACTACAGTGATGTGTCCTTCATTCCTTGAAGATGGATGAGTAGGAATGTGTAGTAGCTCAACTTCACTTTTTCCAATAGATTTCTATTTGTGGACTCCTTATCTGTGAAACAAATTAACAGGCACACCCAACACTCTCTGAGCATGAAAGGAAGAGACTTTGCCGTGTGATGGATTGTCAGAAACTCTCCATTGATGCATGCATGCATGCTGCCCAAAACGAAAGGCTTCCATTAAGGGTGGTTGTGCAAGTTCTGTTTGCTGAACAGGTCAAGATAAGCAATGCACTAGCAAGTAGTTCTTTGAAAGATGTTGAATCTCACTATCATCCAACGGTTACAAACCGAAAAGCACTTCTTGAAGAGACACCACAATCATTCCAAGAAGGATGGAGTGCTGCTAAAAAAGACATCAACACACTAAAGTTTGAGCTTGAGAGTGTGAAAGCCAAGTACTTGGAGCTTCAAAATGATATGGCAAGTTTGCAGAAACAATTTGATAAGATGCTAAAGCAGAAGCAAACTTCTGCATGGATCAGTGGGTGGAAGAAACTTGGCAAACTTACAAAGACTACTAATGTAGAAAATCATGATAATTCGCCTAAGATTCCTGCTTCTGAAGAACAGAATAGAAAGACTACTAGAAGATGGAGAAACTCAATATCCTGATTCCTGAAAGATGAGAAACCCTCAATTTCTTTGAAAAGCAATTCTTCTTTTGAACGTTAAATGAGAAACTCTTAATCTCTTCACATTTTATAGCAATATCTAGCTAAATTGTAATTTGTCACTAAAGCTAATCATATTTTTCAAGGGTGAATTTTACTGCACACAAACTCAATGCCTCTTTTTTATGCTGTTTTTTCATGGGAAAAACTCATTGTGTGCATATTTAAAAATCTGTAGTTAATTTATTTTGGATAACACGGACACTTGGATTTACAGTTACCAATGTTTCCTTTTGTTTATGATGCACTAACTCAATTATTGCATACAGAGCGAAGACTAACTGAAATATTATATTAAAACAATCAACAGATATAAAAATGAGGTTGACGCTGGAATGCATGAAAAATTAAACTGTTTATTTATTTAATATTGAAATATTTTTACAACTTAAGTGTTAATTTAGTTTTTCAGACACCAAGATATAATTTTACTCATAATATAAGAGTTAATAAATTATGAGTAACTTGGAAATTTTCAATAATTATATCTGGTGTCTTTGATAAATAAATTAAGCCTAAATTTAATTAAAACATCAAACAAATTAAACAATAAAACTAAAATTAATTTAAACATAAAATTTAATATTTAAAACCTACATTTTAATGGAACCAATCCAACCAATCTATTTTATCTCCTCAAATTTGCATAGCCTCAAATAACTAATAAATCCTCTCTCACCATTAACTTCATCCAACCTTCCTTTCAGTTTCAAATTGTACTTATTACCCTGGCATAGAAAAGAAAAGCTGGTTTCATATTTGGCTCATTATTATCAAAGTTTCAAATGAACAACATTATAAAATAGCAAATATTCTAAAATCTTACTTTAAACAAATTAGTGTAAACACTTTTTTTCTCTTCTTTATTCAAACGACCTCTGTTTATTTTATAAAAATTATATTATTTAAATTAAATAATAACATCTTAGATAATTATTCCTATTTCTTATTTATTATATATCTTTTTACTAAGCATGAATCTTAAAAATATACCTCAAAATAAATGGAATAACTCTTTGTTGTCAATTTTATTATGCAGAAAATATTTTTAAAATTTTAACGAACAAACTGAACCAATGAAAAAGAGAGAATAATATTAAAATGTTTATAGATACATTTTTTTTAAAAAAAAAAGTCCTAAACAAGTGAACTAAAAAGAAATTAAGAAAGAAACATGATTAGATATCCCAACATAAATAATGTCATCCTGCATAAAAATAATGATACAGATGTCATGTGACAAGACAAAAGGTTTCCAAGGGTCCAAGATATGCAATAAGTAAATATATGGATGAAATTAGATTACTGTGAAGGATTTCTTTGATGCTATCATCATCAGCTACAGTTTACCACACATGACAAAGGATCAAGTGAATATAATGGCTGCTGCTTGAAGAGAAAATTCAATCAACGGCTTAGAAATCATCATGGTACCTACCAAGAAAGGGGAAAAATTAATCTGTTAATGATTATTTTTCAGAGCTAATTCTTCTTTTTTAAATCTATTTGATTTTGATGTCCTTCTCTTTGTTCATTTGGCAGCAATTTATTTGGCATGAGAAAAACAATGCTAATATCACCACTGATCTTCCAAACCAACTTATAATGATTCGTTGGCCTTCAATTGATTACATATTAGTCATGAGACTCCAGAAGTTGGCATTGCAGCACATAATGGCCAATCTTAATGTCAAATGCTTCATAATTGCATGTTTTGCTAGCAAATAAGAAGACAAGGATTTTATGTGACAAAGGATTGGTTAATCTGATTCAAGTTAGGATTAATTATATTTTAGTACATGTAAAATTAACATCTTTTGATATAAATTTAAAAAAAAAATTGTTAGAATTTAGAGTATGTTCGTTTATAGTTTTAAAAAGAGTTTTCTCTTTTTAAAATAAAAAAAATACTTTTTTTAGTTAAAAAGAAAAAAATATTTTTTAAAATACTAACAAACATATTTTAGTCTCTAAAATTTTTAAAATATAAATATTTAATCTTTGTCCTCAATTGTGTAATGATGAACTGGATAACAGTTTAATTCATGTTACCACATTATTGTTACTTTATAATTATTTTAAATATTTTATTATTAAAATATTAATAGTTACAAAAATAAAGTCCCTAAATACATTTTCTTCTTCTATTACTATCTTCTTCAACTTCCTCCCTATCTTCTTTAGGATTGTTGAAAACTAAAATTAAGCCAAAAAGCTACATATTTGTCCTTCAGAACAAAAATTTCAAATACCCACAACAAATCGACCTAAAGATTAAGACATATGCAATGATTGAGTATAACTAAACTTATTAGAAAGCAATTCCCTTTTTTTTTCCTTCTCTGTAAGTTCATCAGCTTTTTAAATTTTTCCACTCCTACATGCAAAGTTAATCAGAGCATTGTACGTTGTAAAATCTAGCTCACAACCCATCTCATCCATCTTCTCATAGTCTTAATTGTGTTTGTTATCAAACCATGCTTGAATTCAATATCTATAATATTATTGAAAACTTGTATGTTCATAATGAATCTCTTTGCCGTCATTTCTGTTAGAAGATGATCAACTGTTGCAAATTTTGGCCTTGCAAAATCCATGTTTGGCAAAATTTCTCTTAATTTTAATTCCTTAAGAAATTTAGTTGCACTTTTGAAATTACACTTCTGGCAAGAGATACCTTTTAATGGGAAATTTTATGTATAAAAAAAGGGAATTAGGAAAGGATCCGACAAAAATAATAATAATATTTTGTTTAAAAGCTTAAATCTTTAATGTTTGAACTAAATATTAAGAAAAATTTTTGAGGTGTTACTTCTGTAAAAATAAAAAACATAATTAAGCCTTCAGTTTATCTTGAAAAATCCAAGACAATGGTTAAAGATTTGGTAGAACATGCAGTATAATGCTTCAATTAATAATCCATTCAATCAACTCCATGTTGGAATATTCTTTATGCTAGTTGATTCTGCATGAACCATCAAATTACCCCAGCATTTATCAGTTTCATATGATATATATGCTTGAACCTGGTCATACGAAGCCATTCTGCTTTACACATGAGTTCAGCTGAAGTTGTATTAGCCAAAAAGCATGTATTCTTCAACAAACAAAATAACAACTTTAAGGTTTTCAAGCCCCAGAGCCCCATCATTTTCTACTGATGAATAGTAAATATGCAAAAATTTCTAAGATCTATTTTCCTTCTGTGGTACCTCCCAAGGAACATCGAGCAGATAGGACAGCTTGAGGGGAAAATTCAGATGAACAAATTTTTAGAAATTTTTACTAGGTGAAACTTCAACGACTTAAGTAAAAATTACTTTTTTGGCTAAGCAAATTTAAATTTACTTAAGTTAAAAAAAAATAGAAGTTTAGCTGAGAGAATCTGGATTAAAAAAACATTTATTTTGTTAAAATTAATTATCGAATAAAAATATATTGAATTGTAAATTAACTCAATCACATGGTATATTATTAAATAATTAAATCTTATTTAAAAATCATTAATGTGTCAAGAAAACTTAAATAAATTAGTTTTATCATCTATTGAAAATAAAATATTGAATGAAATTAATTACAATACTTTAATAAATAATTTTGTATCCTAAAAAATGTAAAATAAATTTATAATAATCTTGATAAAATATTGTTATAACTTTAAAACATCTTTTAGAATATACTTTAAAATCTTAAATATTCAACTGGCATTAATTAATTTCACACATATAAAATCTTTTAAAAATTGTTTAATGTTAATATAACAAAAGAATGTAGTTTAACAAGTTCGAAGATTATTTTTACTTTGTACACTTTAAATTAAATTATAAAGTAAGATCAATTGATAATAGTTATCAAATCTGCACTCTTACATAAAAATTATTAATCCAACCGTAAGTTCTTATTAAAAAAATCAATTTGTAAAATTTTATAAAAAAAATTATTAAACACTTTATCATGTTACTTTATTTCAATAGATATATAAAATATAAGTAAACATCAAATTTTGAGTAACATTCCTATAAAAATGTCTAAATTACATAAAATTTAATATACATAATTATAAAGATAATATAAGATAATTCAACAGTTAAATTAATCAATTTTTTATAAATTTTGTTAACATTAGTCCTTAAAACTGAATTTAAACATTCACAAATAGAAATTTTTATAAAAAAATATACATACTTATTGTGTTAAAGTTATAAAAATAAAATAAATATTTTTTCTAATAAAATTTTATTATTATTAGCTGCTTATCTTCAGTTCTAATAGATTAAGAGTAACAAAACATATTTTTTATTTTATAAAAAAATATTAAAAATACAAATATTTAAATTTCACACTTAATATCTTAAATTATGTGTTAAAATTGGAAGCAGTGGCGTGACTGAACGAATAGCGTTCATACAACTGCTTTATGTCAACCAAGGAGGAACAAGAAAGATAGAGCTAGAAAGCCAAATTGCCTAGACCGGAGTTGTTCATGACAATTAAGTGTGATGGCCAACTTACAATTTTCATAGAAATACATTTCACTTTTGAAATGATGGAGACCAATATAAGCTACAAGTGTTGCCCAACACAGCTTTTCTTCAAAAATAAAATTGACAGGCACCATAAATTAAAGTGTGCATGATTAGGAGCATGAACAACACTTTACATGTTTGTTTGAATTATTTGGAACAAAAAAATGTTCGTAAGTTGAGCTTTTGCCAATACTGATGTGTCTCATTAGACGTGGAAATTTCACTCCTTTTCCATCTCACAGGTGAAAAGAAAAAATTATCAGATTTTTACTTATTTATTTATTTCTTCATGCACGTTGTTCCCACGGAATTACATGCAAGATATAAGAAAATGGAGGAAATGAGGAATCATGGATTCATAGTAAAATGATATTCAATTCCTCAACATGGAACAAATATCAAACACATAAGACAATCAACATAGAAAATATGAAAACCAGCCATCAAACCAGTATACATTTCACACTCCAATTATTCATACAATCACACAACCGACAGAGCATCATGAAAAAGAAACCTAGAATACTCAACACACCTCTCAATTACAACGTAGAAAATAGAATTGCCTATCATTCCACCCCTCAACACGTAAAACAAAGTAACCTTTACCACAAATGCTATATATCCAACAAAGGGCCCCAACAATTCATGATGAAACACCACGTTCCTCATCGAAGCACTCCCCAACATCCGAAACTTTATTGGTACTTTAGAGTCTATGCCAGTATGATATGTGTGCAGGCTTGGAAGAGAGAACAAAAGCATAAAATCAGGAATGAAAAGGAGGGTGGAGAGTGGGACCCAAGTTACCTAACGCGCATGCATTCAATCTACAAGAGAATTCAACACTTAGGCAGAAAAAAGTGTCCTCATTTACAGCACAGCCATCCACTACCATCTCTTGTCCATTCAATCAGTGACCTTCAATCCACCAAAAGCTAAAAGATAAAAACTTTGGTCATCAAATTGAAATTCCAACCCCATAATTGTTCAGCAGCAGAGGCAAAGTGCAGTACTCTTTCTATTGCTGCACTCCACTTTATTGCTAAACTATAAATACTCCTCGAGAAAGAGGCTAAAAGAAGCAAAAATGCTAAGTTGAAACTTATAATGCAACAAATCAACAAATACAACCCTTTTCACCATTCATGTGTCCTTCAACCATGTTATAACCATTATGACCACTAGGTGATATTTCACAGTGTACCGGTTTGGGAAATCCAAGATTTCAAGTACTCAATAGTCCCATCAATGACTGACAGGGGATGCTTTCCTTTTGCTCCAGGAATTAAGTTCTCAAGAACTCTCAAAGATTCACGGATTTTATCCTTTTTCAATTGAATATCAGCCGCTGTTAAATTATTTCGTTTAGTTTGGCTGCCACAAGAATACTTTGATTCAGCATCACTGATATACTCACACATTTCATTTAGCCTGACGGAACCAGCACTGTCCACAAGTGATGGTAATCTATTGTATCCACCATCAATTAACTTCCGCCTTTTGTTTGACCAGTCAGAGCTAACAACCTCTCCCTCTTTATCCTCAAACTGTTCTTGCATTACATAAGTTCTTTTAGTAACCAATGGAGAATGGCCTGTACTTGTTACCTCATCATCATCATTATCAGAACCAGAATCAGAATCATCAGAATAAAGCAACGCATTGATTTCTTCTGTGTCTTCATGCATTTCACTTTCTTCATTAACGATATGATCCTTATCAGACTCCTCTGGTGAAGTGTACATGGGTAATTGCTTTTGGCCCTTATTAGTTTCCCGTGCTTCCTCATTTACATTATAAGCTTGAGCAAATTGTGCAGCAGTTACAATTGGACTCTGAACAAGAGGAAAGACAGGACTATAAAGCAACCTTGTCTTATTACCAGAGTGGTCAAAAATAAGTAAATTCTTCTGCAAAGATGCATGATTTGCATTTTGCATAGCCCCTCCAGTATGTGTTCCTTTCAAACATGGTTCTGAATTGGGATACTGAAGGAATCCTTGCACTTCATTGGTCTGCTCAGTCTTCAAGATTGGGATAGCAGGAGCTGTGAATCCTTGAAATACACTGACAGCAGGAAGGATGCATGTGCTAGGGTTCAGATGTGCTGAATGACCACATGAACCAGGCTCCACCAATGGGCAGGAGCAACTTAAATAAGGTGATGGCCAAGCCACGTGCTGTGGGTAAGCCCAAGACCTATGAGCCTTAACCATCCAACCAAAAAAATGACCTAAAGAACAATAGATTTGATCAATCAATGCTGAAGATTAAAAGCTAGACCCTTTCTGATGTAAAGATGGAAAAAGTGCATTTGAAAAAGCATACCAGTAGATGTTATGGTGCTTTGATATGGGAGCTTCAATGACTTGCTGCTTTTCTTAGGAACAAATGACAGAAAACAAAAACTACAAACTCCAGCTGAAAGAAAACTAAATGCAAAGCAATCTACGTGACAGGCTTAAGCAAATGACGGAAGTACTCAGCCTGCAAAGAGTTATAAGATATCACTCATCACTCATGGGCTCCTAAAATTATCCAATAACTGATACCAGAAGGTTTAGCGATGATTGATCATGATACGTATGTTCTATGCACAAAATACATTATAAATGAAAATTTTAATTAAACAACTAGCTTCACAGTCATGCCTTCAGTTATATAAAAGAACTGCAATTAGAAAACACAAGAATCAGCAAAACCTTACTAACCTGACAATTGTCCAAAGGTTGAAAGCATGCTATCACTCTAACTATAATTGTTGGTTCGCCTTCAGTTCCATTCTCATGTTTTAATGCCCGAAATCTTGTTTGGCTTGCTGCTTGGCACACCATAACTTCTTTTGATCCTCACCACACTACTCAATCAATCCGAATGCAAGTACACACCACAAAATACCCCAATATAATGTGATAATGAAGGCACCAAACTAACTATAAAATCAAAATCAGCTAGAACTAGAAAACTATATGAGAGAGCAGCACTGAAACACAAAATACCAGGCTCTTCCTTCACTTACTATCTTTCAGCCAATCCTATACTTATCTGAAGAAATGATCAAACAGTGTTTGGCTTCCATGGTGGTAATTAAGAATAAGGGACCAAAAGTAACAAAGTAGAGGATTAAGAGGAATGGTGACCTATAGAATAACTCTACAATACAAGTTCAAGCTTACAACTTGGCGGAACACATCAACCAAAACACCCAACCAACGCATGCTTATTTCTTCCCGTGTGACCTATGATTGTAGAATTTCCTAGAGCTCAGGCAGATATTATGCCCTCAACACCAATTATCCTGAAACAAGATTAAAATAACCTCATTTTGGCAACATCAACAATAATGAACAAGAGAGTTTTGAAGAAAAAAAAAACTCAAAAATTATCTAAAAATGTTTTAAATGAGAAATATCAATATGTGATTTTCTTATCCAAATGGGAGAGGCTCCTTTGGGCATAACAAGAACCATTATAAGATTATAGAGAAAGTAATCACAAAGCTGCTAACTTTTTGGAAACTAAGAAAGAAAGTCATCACGCCCACTTAGCCCACCAGGATTACTTAATTTAATTCCTTGAAACATCTAGTTTTACGAGGGAAATATATCACAATTAAACTATTCTACAACCCTCAAATTTGTCAGCAACCAAAGTTTAGTTGAATTAACGGCAAGATGATCCAAGAGGATCCTAAAATAAAAAAGATTGAATTCCAAACTCAAGTTCCATCACGGAGATCCTAGCCCCAATTCCATCTCAGCCTTCCCCCTTAACATGTTTTTGTGTTGAAAGAAAAAAGAAACAGAGGATCAGTTTCTGAAAGACTTACAGATAGATGCGGGATGGTGGGATTGGTTTTCAAAATTTGAGGGAGTGAAAGACAAAGCAAAGGAGAGAGCGAACAGTGACGAAGAAAATGTGCCAAAGAGGTAGTGGAGTTTGTGCTTGCCCATCACTATATAGACACATAAATCTTGCTTTGGCCCCCTTTTTTCGTTTCAATGTTGTATTTCCATAATTCTCCGAAATTAGTGGGTATCTTAATTTCAAAAGATAGTTGAAGAAATAAAAATATGTAAGTTTTATAAAAACATATTTTAATCATATTTTTAATAAAAGTAAGATATTTTAATATTTGATGGAGTTTGCAGTTCTATTATAATTGGAATTTTAAAACTAAGGGCAAGTGAGGGAAAAAGAATGGACTGAAGTTTGTATTTTTTTTATTTTTTTTTAATTAGAGCTTGCAATTTTAATAATTTTTTTATTTTTAATGTCATGTATTTAAATTTTTTCACTTAACTCTTTTTTCATATCTAAGATTTAATGTTATATTAAAATTTTAAAATATGAGTTTGATCTAAGAGTAAAGAAAAGTAAATAAACTTAGTTTGAGTGGTCAGCTTGATTAAAATGTTATAGGTAAGTTTAAACTTAAAGACTTTTTATTTATATAGAATTTAGTTTGTTGCTAACCTTTAACGTTAAACTTTATATTTTAGCGGCTAACAATATAATATCCTTTTAGTACAATTTTTTATACAAATATTTTTACATCGTTGAAAATTAACCAATTACAATTAACATTTTTATAAGATAAAATAGGTTTTAATATTATACACTCTCAAAAGTTAATTTAAAAAAAAATATTACTCAAACATTATAAACAATATAACACATTTTTAACTAATATGAGATATTTTAGTAATTTTTAAAATTTTCAAGCTACCTATAAGACACACAACATTCATATTTGAGATCCAAACACAACACAAACTTTTACAATATAGATTAGCGTAGGCAATGTTTTTAAAATAGGATCAATAATTAAATTGAAGAAGACACTAATTTCAAGACTCACAATTTAACTCAAAAATATATAAACCCTTGTACATTAAGTTTAAATACTAACCTTTGAATGAGAAGATTTGCCTAAATTTTGCCAATCAGAATTTAAATTATTCTTATTAATAATATCAAAGACATTTCTTGTACTACTCAATGGGCAGGTCAATTAAGACGGGATTATTCTTACTTAATTAATGATAGTTTTACGGTATAAAATGATCATACATCTCATATTGCATTTTCTTTTTTTTTTCTTTATAATATAAAAATTATTCCTAGTTGTTATATAATGGTCGAAGATCTTGCCATAATTTTTTTTTCTTTTGGGTAAGATGTAACCTGGACCGAAGTCCTCTGTCCTTCCCATTCTCATAATCAAATGGGTAATAGAAATTGTGGCATTTGCTTAAGAAAATGAATTGATGGTGATGGCCCGAATTAAATAGCGATTATGAAAAGCATTGGCACACTTATCATACGGTTGAATAGTTATAATTAGATTAATTATGATGACAATAACAATGGCGAAACAAGACACAGTTCACCAGAGAATAGACATAAACATGTGGCACTCACTCATGAATAATCTAATATACTCATTAGCAACCTAATTGTTGTTAGTTAGCCTTCGAAATGCAACCAATATCGAGGGCCCATTCACCCCACCAAAGTGAGCACATTGGCAAAGGTATATGAAATGAATCATACAATAGCATGACAATAAAAATAAGAGAATTATGCGAATGGTATATCCATCAAGTGCAACACCCATTTTTAGCCCACTAACTAGAACAATCTAATCTAATATATTACGCCCGTGCATTTGATGAAAACCAAAAGAAGAAGAAAAAAGACCCAAAATTTATGAAAGGCCAATATCATTCAATAATTTATGTATAATATATGCATGTTGCTACACCATTTTGCTTGGAGTGGAGGGCACAAGCACCAAATACCAAAATCTATGATGAGGTCTTCCCTTTCGGTTACAGCTACACCAGAGTGCGGTTGGATTTCAGAGACTGAATGCTAGAATTCAGGGATTCATTTAACCTTTATCACTAAAGAACATCCATCTAATTGATTGCTTTCTGATTTTAGCTCTTTTTAAAGGCAAAGGCAAAGGCAAAATGCAAACCTTTAGGTTCCGCAACATTTTTCCCTGCAAATGTTTCTCAGTGAGCTTTATCAGAAGCACTAACATTAGTTGGCACAGATTTTATGAGCAAAATTAGCAAATTATGATACTAAGACGTGCTTACGATATCTTTGTTCTGAAATGCACTTCGTGAACGCAACTTTAGCGGAATTGGCATTTGGAATATTGAAAGTGGGTGATACACGAGGAAGCAACGAGCCTTTACAATGCAAAATTAGATAGTTCGATTTCAAATTTTCTCCCTTTTTTTGAAAATATAAAAATAAAAACATACATTGTTCTTGATTTGTAACAATGAAGAATAAATAGAATTAATAAAGTGTCGAAAGCATTGAAAGAAATGGTGATCATCATGAACAATAGTTATCCTTTATCATCATTGTATTGATAGAGATTTAGCATCCTTTCACTATTACAATTTGAAAGGTTTGGCAATAGGAATGAAGCATTCGCTGAGCATAATAATAGTTAATAATTCCAAAATCCAGAAATAACCTACTTCCTTATTTAAAGCATGTAAATTTCAATTTATTTTTTCTTTTAGTTGTTCACTTTGAATTTTTATCGTGTTTCTAAGATTAGTCTTCTTTCTGTATATAATATATGCAAAGTTTTATTAAATAGTTGTTGAATTGAAAGTATACTACATTCGGGTAAATGTTATATATGATGTCAAGGACTCAAATTTAGAGTTATCCTTTTTCTTTTTCTTTTTCTTTTTGTCAACATCAAGTTATCACTTTGCATAGAGCTTTACCTAATTACCGTTCTTGATCGAAAACTAATCTCAAAGTTACACTCACATTGGTTTTGTTAATGACCAGATGGGTGTGTTTTCTGTTTTCTTACTCCCCCTTTAATGAATCTTAAATATCGGAATTGGGCTTCTTTTTGTATATACAAGGGCTTTGGCTATTTGCTTTCTTCCCTTCGTTCCTCTTCGTTACACACAGTCAACAATTTCCTTCCCTCCATTTTGCTTCAATGGACCTTTATCCTCCATCTCAATCAAATTGCATTTGCTGGAATTAGTTGTTTGTTGCTCCGTTTCGCCGCTAAAAAACCTTCCACGGTATATCTAACTGGACGGTTGGCTGCTGTGAGAATGTTTGCACCAGAGCAAAATTCCTCGTGTGCATCAATTAAGGGGTCTAGGCCGCGGTTATAAAACCGATTAGTAGGGTCAAGATTTGGCTAAACGAATGAATAATTATATAACTAATGAAGGTTGATTAAATAGTATCGACAAAAATAATCAATTTTTGCTGGTCGTGCTTCATTTATAGACCATTATAAATGCTCCTATAAATTCGTAACTACTTTCACTTTTTCAACAACAATAATAAAACAAAACTGGACCAAGACACAGAAGAGGGAGGAGGTAAAATGCAAGCACCGGTACCACTAGTGGCACGATTTATGAAAACAATGTCACCATAAGTTACTTTAGGGATTCAAGTCATAAATAAAACACAGAGAGCCATAGCTACTTGTTAGGATTATAAAATAATACCATTAAACGACCATTGTTCATAAGGGAGTTCGATATCCGTAACTCGAAATAAGAGAATCTGTGGTCTATCAACTGGGCTGAGAAATTGATGCCGTTTGAAACACAAGGGAAGTAACTCAAGTAAAACGTAACCTCAGCAGAAAAAGAAAGAGCAGGGTTTAAGGCTGTCGGTGAGCTTACAGGCGACACAAGACAATGACAACCGCACCGATATGCTAATAACTAATAAGATAAGCATCACATCCAAGTCGAAATGTTCTAGTCTACCCTTTCACGGCAGCAGCAGCATTAAGATACTTCGGCGTTGCGATTGACACAAATGGCACAAGGTCAAAATAGCACACCCAAATATGGTGCGCTATTGCCTTGAAACTGGAACAAAGCCTGGTTTGTAGCACCGGCTCTATTAACAAACGCAAAATGCGGTAGCAATAACGCTATAATTAACAAGAGCAAAGTCTGGTACCAATCTATTAAGAAATATGGAGGTCAAATTATAAACCTAGAAGGCTAGAATGAATGATCAAGGACTAGATTCATTCTATAGGATATACAAAAACCATCTAAAGCCTTTCACTTGGAAGCAGAAACTAAGATCATGCATTGCTACATAATATTTATCTGCTAAAGAAATCAGGAAAAAAATAAAGGGCACAATATTAGAGTTCGCGATGATTCTAAATTTTTCTTATTTAGCATTTCAGTTAAGCAACTCAACCACAGTAGATATCACTGGCAATGCGGGGATAATACCATAATACATGTCCATGGAAATTATTGGTTATTCTTTGGACAGAGACAGACGAACAAGGTTTTTATTGCACGTTCAAGACTTCGATTTCAAATTCCAAGACAGAGTTGGGCTGTATTCCCCAAGCAGGAAAGCCACCAGCACCATAAGCATAATCAGGAGAGCACTGCAAGATCATCAACCACGTGAATAACAGGGTTTATTCAAATTGAAAACTCTCAGAAATAATGTTAAAAAAAAGGTAACAGCCTTAAATCAATTCCTTTTCACAGGTAAGTTCACCACATGGTTTTTAAGTATGGCACAAAAACACTCAATTGGATGTAATGTCAAAAAAAGTAATTTACGTATGCACATCGTCCACTGGAAACGTGGACGATGATTATTACAGCTACAGGCATTGATCGGAAATAATTGTATATAATAGTTTTCAAGTGGGAACAAGTACAAGTAACGGCAAAGAACGGTGAATGGTAAATCGATATATTACCCTGAGACGAGCAACTTCACCGACTTGCATGCCAATCACACCTTCGTCCCATCCTACAACACATTGAAAAAATCGAAGTTTACATTTGTGGTTTAGAAGAGAAAATGGTATTATTATTGATATGGATAAAGCATACCTTTGATAACAGAACCTTGGCCGATTTTGAATGTGAAAGGGTTCTGGCCAGGATCCTTGGTGCTGTAACAGAGGGATGATAAATATGTGAGTTTATAAGCGATGAAATGAAGAGAAGTATAGAGATTGAAATGGAAAAGGGAAAACCTCCAAAACTTCTGAGAAAGGTCACCGTTCTTTCCTGGTCACAGTAATTAGCATAGGAAATGGGGTTAGTGACTAACAATTAGGGTTTTAAAAAGGGAAATTGAGAGAGAGAGAGAGAGAGAGAGACTAACCAAAACCAGTGCAGTGAACAGTGACATTCTGACCGGGAAGAGGCTTTGCACCGGTGCCAGGCCTTATCAATTGCTTCTGCACTCCCATCTCTTCTTTCTTCTTCTCTTACTATGCTTAATTCCTATTCCTTCTCCTTCTTCCTCTGGTTCTTTCCCTTTATATCACTCCTTCACGCAATCACCCCTTTTTTTTTTCATTCTTTTTGTCCCTATTTTTTATTACATTATTATTTTTTCTTTATCTCTCTTTTTAATTTATTTCACACATCAAAATAGGATAAAATAGTTTTTTCTTTAATTAAATTTAAATATACTTCTTCACGATTGAAGAATGAAATATTATCTACGATTAATATTTTTTTATTTTGAAGGAATGAATAATGATTATATATAATAGTTTCTTTAAAACATATAAGATTTTATTCATTAGTATTCTGAAAATGCTAGTTAAATAAATGGAAATATTTATTAAAAATCATACTAAAGGAATGTTGGAAATTATAATAACTTTATCAATAATATTTTTTAATAAAAATTTAAATGTTTAATTGGAGTTTAAAAATCCCAATTAGCATTCATAAATGATAAATTTTTATTAAAAATATATTAAAATTTAAAGTGTAATAAATATTTTTTAACAATTTTTTATTTTTACATGCTTAAAGTTAATTTTAAGAATTAAAGTTAATAAAACTATTCAAAAAATAGTTTCACCATCTTTGAATAATAGACTTTTTATATTAATTATATTTTAAAAAAATATCTTAAAGTTATTTTTGGGCTACCAGAGAAGCAGCTCGGTATTACTTAAGTAAGATCTCAAATTTGACTCCTTATATATGTAAAAAATCTCCAATAGTATATTTATTGTCACGACCCCTTTTTATAAAGAACTAAGAATATTATTTCTACACTACTTACTTATTTAAGATAAATAAATAATAGAGAATATAAGTATAAAATTCACTTTTCATTCAAAATAAACAAAGTTTCTTACAACAATATCCAACAGAACAACATAATATTACATTTAGTTTGTAATACTCAAAATACACAAAAATTATATTACATAACTTCTTCTATATGAGGTCTCAAAATATAAGTAAAATGACTTTATTACAAAATTATTCGACTCTAGTCTTCTAACACTTTTCCACTGGCCCTTTAGCCTGTGAAGTAGATGCAACACCTGCTACATCTATTTGCATATCACCATATGATCATTGCAATACACACTCACACAACAACATAGAAAGAAATGCAAGGGTGAGCTTACAAAAAAAAAATCATATATATAAAGCAAAATATTACTCACAACAATAGCATCATGCATTCTCAGCTCATCTAATGCACAACATGAAAATAATTTCTAATTGGTTTCAAAGCCTAAGTATTTCAAAAGAAATCGAGTTGATTCAAGAGCGACCTATTTCGGTATCTGAATTCAGACAGCACAACACAACACAGACAAAATCATCTTAGAACATGTTACACGTCTACCCACCTAAATGTGTAACTCGACTCTATAATGAAGCAAGTCATATATCTTAGTATGATGCAGTACAGACAAAATCATATTCTTAACAACTCAGCTCAGCTAAAATAATTCCTAATATTTCAGTCAAATCTCAACATTTTAAATTAATTAACAGCAGTTACAGCATAGAAAATAGCTTTTATTTAAGAGATCTGACAAAATCATCTCAAAACTTCTTGTAATAGTATATTAAATTGTTCCAAATATCGTTTAATAGTTAAAATAAGTTCCTCTTACCTTAAAACAACGATTCACACCAAATCTACCAAATATTACTTGTTTTATGACAAGATCCACCGAAGATTTAGCTCTACAACAAAGTTTCTCCTAAGATATCATCAACTATCTATAAGAAAGAGAAGAAGAAGAGAAACGAAAGGTAAATCTAACTTTAAACTTATAGAAACGTACTTCAAATCCTTCAGAACAAACGTGAAATCTCAAATATGGTAAGAAATTTAAGTTTCAGAAGGTTTACTATAAGCGAAAATAGTGGTATATATAGCCTTGGGTTTCTCTAGAACCTTTGAAAAGTGTAAAGAAATGAAAATTTTGTATAAGGCCTCCTATTTATAGGCAAAATTTAAAAAAAAATGAAATACTATTCACATCAACTTTACTGTTCACGTCAGATTTACTGTTTACATTGGATTTACTGTTCACACTAACTTACTGTTCATCTTTTTTTTTTAATAATTTCAAACTTTATCTAAATCTATTCCAATATCAAATAATCTTTCAATTAATATTTAACAAGTACAAATTATTACAGATTACTCAATAATAAATTACAAGTCTGACACTCACCCACTACATTCGAATTAAACTGAATGAAAAAAAAAAGTTGTTCTTAAACTTTTATTTGTATTGAATTATAGTTGATCTCATCACTTTGTCTATTATTATTTTTCACTTTTCCTAACTTTTTTTTTCCTAATTCATAAAAAAATTATACAAATTTACTATCCAATTAGAATTTCTAGACAAATTAACTTGACTAGAGCGTAAGAAAAGTTGAAATAAGTGCAACCCATGCTTTTCTCTTTTAAAAGGTTACTATTAGCAAATTAGAAACTAGTTAAAGTATCAGTTTCTTTTTATTTTAAGGAATTTATAAAGAGGTCTCAATTTTAAATCTCTCAACATTAATAGTTGGATTATGTTGATTAATTACTAAATTTTTTTAAAATATTAATACTTTATTAAAGATAAAATTAGAATATAAAAATATTTTAATCTATTACCTTTCTAACTAAAGAGAATTAATAATATATGTTAAAGAATTGTTAAAGTTCGTTATATCATAAAAAAATGTTAAATTCAAAAGAAAGAGTAAATAATCTATTTAATTAATAAGGTTCTTTTGTACAAGTTATCTATTTAAAGAAAAGGAAAAGTAATGTGGTATTTGATAAAATAGAAAACTTGGCCGATATCATTATACCAACAAAAAGCATAACAGTGCCTTGTATTATAGGTAAAACCCGCTAACCATTTACCATCATTTGCTAGGTGTGTTAATTTAAACAAGAATGATATAATCATCATTGTTAAAAAATATTCACACCTTTTTTATTTGTTACTTGTAAAGTGAATTTATATAATGACTAAACCCTTTCTTTAATCTTTGAGAGAATTTGAGTATATTATTTTAGTCTCTGAGACATTTAAAATATCATGTTAGTCTCTAACTTCCTTCTCCGTTATTTATTTTAGTCCATGATGTTAGACCCTCCTATTAAGAAACTGTGACAGAAGGCTGAGTTGTCACGTTAAGTGTTATGTCAGAATCTCACATGACAGAAACAACGTCATTTTTGGAAGTTGTTTGACACCTCTAATAATGAAATGGTGTCGTTGTGATCATAGGACCCAACTCAATGACCTCACCTAAAACATGAATCCCATCTTCCTGACCAATTGTTGTCTTCCCTTCTAGTATTGTGGCAAGATTTGCTAAAACAGTCACTGTCTTATCAACCATTCCAGCTGCAAGGTCCATTAACTCTACAAGATGTTTCACAGCACCAGCTTGCACGATCCGATCCTTATTTTCATGAAATATTGACAAATTAAACAAAGCAGTGACAACATCTTTCTTCCCTCTAGGGATTTCATTCCCTAATAAATCAACCAGTAGTCTAATTGCCCCAGACCTCCTTATCCTGATTTTGTTTTCCTCAATAACTGATAAGCTAAAAAGTGTGGCAACTGAGTTCTCCTTGGTTTATGGACTCCCTGTCTTAAGGACATGAATTAAAGGTTCAATGGCCCAAGCATTTGCAATTACAATTTTGTTGTTATCATTGATTGGTAAGTTAAAGAGTGTTGTAACATAATTTTCCTGAATTGTAGTATCAGTTGATTGAAGTAAATCAACTAACAAGCTAATGACACCAAAATTTGAAATCACTATTCTGTTATCCATATTGTGCTTAGCAAGAAGGTAGAGTTCTACTGTTGCATCTCTCTTAGTATCAAGAGAATTGCTCTTTAATTGTTCCACTAATTTCTTACCTGGGTTTCAGTAGCGGATAGATGGTTTGTCATCCCAAAACAAAAAAATAACTCAATAAATTAAGAAAAATTATTTTTACCGAATTCTCTATCTGTTGACCCTTCTTCCACTACAACAAACTTTAATCTATAAATATTTTACCTTCAAACATAACGACGAACAAGAATTTAGGCGAGATTCTGTGTGTACTTAAGGTGGTTATTCTTCAACTCAAATGAGGAATTATTTCATTAAGTCAGGACAAAAAGGACTTGAATAACAACGACACCGTTTCACTATCAGAGGTGTCACGACATCTTTAAAAAATGATGTCATTTCTGCTAAGTGAGATTCTGACATAGCACTTAATGTGACAACTTAGTCTTCTGTCACAGTTTCTTAACAGAGTCTGATGTCAAAAAGTAAAATGAATGATAAAAAAAATATTAGAAATTAACATGATATTTTAAATGTCTTAAAGACTAAAATGCTGGATTCAATCTGAGAGCCTAAAGTGAAAGTTTAGTTTTATATAATATTTTTCTTTCTAGATTAATTCCATTTTTCCTCGAAGAAACAGAGCGCAAGTACAGACACATCTTATCCTCAAATTCAATGACACGGCCCACATTGCATATATCAATTCGAAGAATAATTGAATGACACGAACAACATAAAAACTAACTAAAACTATCCAACGCCTAATTACATCTTGGACCACATTGCATGGTTCCGAAAGTTGAAACTTGAAAGAAACAAAGGCTAAAATCGAAACTTAAACAACCCAACCCAAAATTTTCATCATTGATCATCCTGCTGCGTTTTTAAGCGCGATCCAATCCCACGAATCCTAAAAGTAACCCAAAGCACTTGAAGTTGAAACGTAACACTGCTCTCACACGACATCAAAGTGCTAAAAACTAAACATAGCAACCTCGGAAACGACAACAACGGACAACTCATGTTGGCCTAACACACCGTGCTCCCTCTATAAAAGAACCATATCTCTTACGCTCTCTGCATTTCATTGCCAAGAGCCACACTAGTTTTACAAAGTGCCATCTCTCATCTCCTCTTCCTCGTTCTAGCAGTGCCCTTCAGTTTCAGATGGGAACAACTGGGTGAACGTTCCCGATCTGATTCGAGTTGGGCTACAAAAACCGTACAATGGAGGCGGAGAGGATGAGGCAATTGATGTTACTATGGTGTAGAATGCGAAGCAACCGTATGGCTCTTGTGGGTGCAAACCATACCGCTGCCAGGTTTTGCAGTCGCTAAAAGTTCCCTCCCTTCCAGATCGCTGGCTTTGTTTTACCTTCCTAATCTTAATTTCTTCGCTTTTGTGCATCTGGGTCATCTTGTTTTTCGCCAATTGAGCCAATCTCGATCTCGGTTCGCGCGCTCGTTCTTGGTGTTTCTGAAAAGGTTCTCGCTCGGTTCCAAGAATCAATGGAATTAGATCGTGGGTGTGAAGCCAACAAGGGGAGCAAAATGAAGAATAATAATTTGCATGATGGGACAATTGCTCTGAATCACGAAACTGTTCTTGTTATCAGGCTTCCCGGTGCTCAAGTTTTGCGCATTTTGTCTCGGTCCCTATTTTTGGCCATCGTTCTTGCCGCGTTGCCTTTCTTGGGAACCTTTCTTAAAGAATTCTCATCAAGTTCCCATTCATTTGTTCCTGCTGCATCTAGTTGTGTCAGTGTGGAGATGTTGAATTCAATTCTCCATGATTTGGCTGATCAAGGCCTCTTCAAAAAGGATGATAAGGTTCTCTTAGTGAACCCTCCCAATGGCTTTATTACGGGTCCCAATACTCCTCCGTTCAATAACAACGAGATTGATATGGTTATTGACTCTGATTTGAGGAGAAAGATCTTGTTCCCTGACGGCTATTATGATTTTGTGTTCATGTCTAGCTCTATTGATGCTGAGTTTGTTGATCGCATTTTGAAAATTAATGGCATTGTAGTTCTCCCGTTGGGCGTTAAATCATCAAATTCTGCTTTCAGAAAGCAATCTAATTATAGAGTTGTTTACATTAGGCGATATGATTCTATTATTGTTGCATTGAAGAAAACTGGCCCTGCCGTTAGGTTGGTGGATAATTCTTCTCCAAGGAGGAAGCTTTGCCAATTGATGATGGACACCAAGAAAGTGGCGTTGAAGGGTCTTGAAGATGTGCTCTTGGAGCCACCTACAAAGGATTTTGTAAAATCAAAGTACTTGAAGAAGATCAAGTATCTACCCGACTTGTTAGGTGATTCTCTTCAAGGTTACAATAGAAGACTCTTCATAGGTGTAGGCTTGGCTGAGGAAAACAAGGGTGTGGTACAATGGTTCCAGAAGAACTACCCAAAGAAGAACACAAAATTTGAAATTCACAACCTCGTGGTTCCACCAGAAGACAGTGTTATGCCCCATACAGATGTTTCTGCTTGGTTATCTAAGCATGTGAAGGAAGAAGAGTATGTTGTAATGAAAGCAGAAGCAGAGGTAGTGGAGAAGATGATAAAGGAAAGGACAATCTATTTGGTGGATGAACTTTTCCTAGAGTGTAAATATGAATGGTGGGAGATGGGGAAGAGAAAGAAAAATGGTAGAGCATATTGGGAGTGCTTAGCTTTGTATGGATTGGTTAAGGATAAGGGAGTTGCAGTACATCAATGGTGGGGTTGATTGGAGCTTTCAATTAGGTATAACCTGCTTTGGTTGTGTGTTACATGGGCTTCTTTCTATTGTTTCGGTGATTGGTTTGTATCCATGTTTGAATTTGCACCTTAAAAGATCTTCGTGTGCCATGAGTGGTGCATGCTTGTATTCATTTTCCATGGTACTAGTTAGTGCTACGAATAAAAAGGCTTTTTTTTTTCCTTTGTTCTTTGTCTCTTTTATGGTGACGTACGTTGGTTAGTAAAACCAGTATTTAATTGCATTGGTTAAGTAATAATGTTAAGAAAATTACCAGCTTAACTAGCCGACAAAGGAGATTGAAGAAAAGTTAAATAAACACACTATGATATTGCTATTTGGTGAATGGTGTGTAATTTAATATTTGGGATGTGAAATATGTAATCATGTGAGGAGATGTTGCAGAAGCTTCGGGAGATTAATAAAAGAAACTGAAATCCTATCAACTAAAAATAAATACAGCCTATGAGGGCTCGTCGGCGGCAGAAACACATCGTTCACATGGTCACGCAATTGAAGGCAGAGATTATAAAATTACTAAAGATTTTAATTTTTCCTTAATTAAGTCTTTGTTACCACAGTTTAGATTTTATTTTCAAAAAAAAATTTAGTTAGTGTATAGTACTATTTTTTTAGCTCCTGAAGTGTTAGATACCGATAAGTAGAAAATAAAACAATAATTTATGAAAAAATAGAAATTAAATCTTAGTTAAATATTTTATAAATATTAAGTTTAAATTTATAATTTTTACAGAGAATAAAAACTTAATTAAAGTTAATTATTTAATATCAGAATCAAGTTAAATGTGTCCCTCTTTGCAATGGAGAAAAGAAATATTGAGTTAACCAGAATATAAATTATCATAAAGAGAACCTATCCCATTTAAGAATATAAAATAATGATAATCTTCAAGAAGTGGCTGTAGTTTAGTGGTAAGAATTCCACGTTGTGGCCGTGGAGACCTGGGCTCGAATCCCAGCAGCCACAGTTCAATCGACTTTTTGTTCCTTCAGAACTACAAATAGAAACGACGGCGTTTCCGAGGTTGCCTTAACTCCAGGTCAACTCGAATTTGCCTTTTCAATATTTGTGCTTCGCTTAACACAGTTAACGCTCCCCCAGTGTTTTTGTCTTTCCGATCCCACCCACAATTGGCTTCCAGTTACGCAAAAGGTCAATTTCTTATTTCTCAATCATACCTTTTTATTTAATTTTAATTTCATTATTTGCATCTGTTCGTTTCGGCGGTGAATTATCGGCATTTAACACCGCTAGATTTATTGCATTTTGGGTCCATTCTGAGATGGACGGTCAATGTTTTAATTTGCTTTTGTTTTTCTTCAGTCCCGTTTCAACCGTTTTTCATTTGAAAGGCTATGATTGCACGATCACGATCCATGTTAGTTTCTTGTAATATGATGGGAAATTCGTTTACAATGATTATAATTTAAAGCAATTAATTTTCATTTGATGCGTTGGTTGCTTAATTTTAATTTTTCTTGCATCATCCAGAAAGTGAGAGATGGTTGATGATCAAGCCTTGGGATTCATTGCCAACTATCTGGGCATCTTCATTTTTGCTTTGGTTATAGCATATCACATGGTCACAACTCACCCCAAATATGAAGCCAGCTAGAAGATACTTCCAATTTTTCTTATGTATTCCAGACACAATTTTGATGGATTCAATTTTGTTGATTGATTTGTAGGTCATTTTGTGTGTGTGACTTAATATTGATGAAACCAGAATTTGAGGCTTATGCCAGCTAAATAGTTTCAACATTTAGAGGCTTGTGTTAACCATTTTGATTTTTGTTCTTTCTGTATTTGATATATTAGATTGGTGTTTAGATTAACTGGGATTGGAGAGCTGAAACACTAAAGAAAAGGGGAAAGAAAATTTAGAAGGGAAAGAAATATGCCTTCATGCAACAACATACGTTCTGCACTAAAGAAAAAGGGAAACATAAAATGCTCCATTACAAAGTGCTACGTGGTATATTCACCCAATCAAAGGATAGGAAACAAAAGAAGTTAACAGATACGATGGGAACGCTTATGCGTGAACATTTATTTTACTGCTTATACATGCAATGCAACATGGATTATGCTGAATGCATCTTCTGTGGAGCATACTTGGACCCAATTATCCTCAAGGATTGGTAGTTGTGGCAGATGGTGAGAAGGGTGGTGGAAGTGTGCTAATTAAGGGTTGAGGCAACCTGAACTCTGGCCACGCAGGGACCGCAGGGAATGGCGGAAAATTCAGGCGAGGACCATTTCCCAACTCGGGCAATGCCGGTGCCAGAAGTTTTCTACTGGCTTGGACATGGTCGATACTCAAAAGTGACAAAGCAATGAAGAAAGATAAGAGAAGCACACGGAAGGAGGCCATTTGAGTATATGGTTGAAATCAGTTAGTAGGAGAAAAAGTGGATAGAAGGCAAGGAAAGAACTAAAAATGGTAAGAGGAATCGTGGTGATGAGACAAGGGTTCTGCCCTTGAGTTTTTATAGTGCAACTTAGAAGAGGTTGGCCGTTAGAGCTTGGAAAGAGTTTAACAATTCGCCTAAAGGACAATGGTTCATGAGTAGAGTTACACCTCATCGTCGTCGGTTTTAAATGGCGGGAAATGTTGGAGTGCATTTCTTTGAGTAATATATCAGATGTAGATGCAAAGTTGACCCACTTCATGCATTTTAATGGAGTTCTATCTTTCTAGTTGGCCATCTTTTTCTTGACGTTAATTTGTATGACGATGATATTTCCAAGAAGCATTATTTTCAAAAAAGATGCATTGGTTCAGAGTAGATTACTCTTACTCAACTCTGCTTGATGTTAATACATTTGGCACGAGGATGATTAGAATGTTTTCTCATTAGAGCAGAGCTTTTCTTGTTACTGGATCAACGATACGGATTAATGCACTATTTTTCCTTGTCACATTAAAGTGAATATCTACGTTAAAATTTCTTTTTTACGAGTTCCATTTATCTTCGTTGCCTATTTTAAATAGCATAGAAGAGGGAAATTGATCTAACGTTTCCCACCAAATTTCACTCATTGCTGATAGATTGGCAGCTTGGAATGATAGATAACTTTACTCGCACGGTGTGTTTGGGAATTACACGTGAAAGGGAAAGAAAGAGGAATTTACAAGAAAAATGAATTTCAATATAATATGAATTTATGACCACCCTTCTTTGGGGAAAAAAAACTAACATAAATTAAGTTTTTCCAAAAATTTTCCAATTTAAGAGAACTCAAAAGAGCAGTTAAGGATATCAACAAAATATACCCTTATAGTTTACGGGTATAGCTAATTAGGGTATTTAGAACCATAGTTAAGAAATTAATAAATAATAAATTTTTATTAAAAATCATGTTAAGATACATTAAATAAACACAGAAATGAATGAATTTTTATATATTTTTTAAAAAATTATTTATATTTAAATTTTTTAATATATGCTCTAAAAATACTTTTTAGCATTTTTCGTAGTTTATTTACCTCTTGCCTTCTTGATTGGCCGGGGTTTTAATTCACCCCTCAAGAGGCCATCATTACTCACTTGGACCCGGATCTGTTAGGTAAGAAGCAATGAGTATATTAAAATAGACTATCTAAATGATATGGCCTCAATAATGAATTTGTATTATTAGTGCCCTCAAAATGCATTTCAAGGAAGAGACTGTGGTTGATGTGCCTTCCCTGCTTCTAATCCATTAACTGTTGCTGTACTTATAGACTATACGCCCTTCTCTTTTAGCTGAAAAATTAGATTTATGCTTCAGTTATTGTTCATTTGACTTTTCTTAATTCCCATAACCGTCAATCTTTGAACTGGACAATTGAATCGCTGCTGAACTTCTCAAGTTGCCCAAAAGATTATTACTCTGAACTACATTACTTATGATGAGGACATCCATAATAATTAACTACCTCATTCTTTTCCCGAGCTTACATGTTCTATATTTTACCTTCCCTTTTCTGATGCCTACTTCAAAACTGTGTTATACATACAACCTTTTTTAAAAGAACAGTTCTTTAGGTATTTTTATGCTATTTAACAATTAAAATAAGATTTTTATTTCAATAAAAAGTCCACATTTAAAGTTATCCCGAGTTAGAGAAGTAAAATTCTAACTTTGGTTAGTACTAATTTGTCCTTTTTAAAAACCTTTCTTCATAGTGTTGTATGGTGTGTGTTTCCTGGTAACATGGAATTTGAGCAAATTGCTGCAATATGGACTACACGCATGCTTCCTATGACAATAGAATTTTTTTCATACACTTCAATTTCGTTGCAAGTGCATAGTTTACTGGTAATAAGTGATCGATAGCCTCTCCTTTAGAAATATTTACTTGATAAGTAATACATACACACACGTGAAAGAGAATAGAACTTGACTATACAAATAAAATAGATGGCTAATATTAGAATCAAATAAAACCATGTTGACTATTCATATATGGTCGAATGATTAAAATTAACTCTTCTTACCTCTATAATATATACAATGCGGCTGCAATGGCGGTTTAATAAGGGAAACCCCTTGCAGCAAATGGCTTTTCATACTGAAATAAACCGTAGATACTATATATGACAATTATTCTTAGTAAGCGTATTAGGATGTTACTTGGATTCTGCTACTCATCTGTTGATCCACTGTTTATGTGAGAAAAAATTACGTAACTATGTTATTAACTTATGACAGTACAAATGGATTTTGCTCCCTGTGGCTATACATAATATATTTTGCCTTCAACATTTTTCTGCTTCATGACAAATTATTATCAAAGTTATTGCTTGATGTATAGTTCAAGACTTTCTGATTATACCGATTATTTGGATATGTTATTACAACTAGTATGAAACTATTTCTTATTGATGAGAGTTTGGAAACCAAAAAGAATGACACAAATTCATTGGAAGTTATGCGAAGTATATTGCTTGATCTGAATCTCGATGATGTTAATACCCAAGTCTAATAGGCAATAGGTAGCAATATTTTGGTGGATAACTTCTTTTATGTTCATTGTTTAGAAAAGTTATGTTATTAACATCATAAAGTCATTAACGCAATCATAATTTCAAACAAATGTAACATAAGTTATTATCTAATAAAGGGAGGTTCAAGTAGTGGTATTATCGTTATTGTTGTTACAACCCACTTTTATCCGATGAAACACCAAATTTCATGATTAGCAGTTCATAATTCCTCGTTTTGTTATATTTACTTCTTTCTTTACTGATTAAGAAAACAAAAAAATAAACATATTCGCAAATTGTTCTTAGGGAACCCAAGGGCTCATGTGATATACTCAGTGATGTAAATATAATTAACTATAGGGATAGTTAGGATGTTAGAAGAACTTAAAAGGAGAAGACGTCGTAATTGTATAACTGTGTAATCAATCACAATCTATAATATAAGAAAAAGTACAAGCAATAGCAAGAAACTCATAAATAGAAAAGAAAATACACAGTTTTTCACACCAAACAACAAAAGATACAACGATAACCTCATACAAAGCTCTCACATATACGAAAGGAATCAAACCATATCTATTGCATGGATTCTACTAACCATATTGTGCGACTTGGCAGAGATATATACCAAAGTCATAGGCCAGCTAGCCTTGGATGAACAAATGAAAGTGTTTAGGGGGTGGAGGTTGAAGGTGGTGGGGAGAGGAATGGGATAGAGGGTATAGTGGTTGGAATTGTGGGGAATAAGGGCATGTTGGGCAATGGAGGAAGGTTGTTCTGTGGAAGTGTTGGAATTGAAATGGTAGGGATGCTTGGAAGTGGAGGCAAAGATGAGATAGTAGGCAATGTTGGCAGTGGGAAAGTGGGAAAATTGCCCTGAGGCAATGTTGGCATTGAAGGCAAAGGTGGCATTGTTGGTTTAGGCAAAGAGGGAACGCTTGGCAAATTTGGTGCAGTTGGTGTAGTTGTTGTTTGCATGAGATGGCGAGCTGCTAGGCTCAAGTTCATGCTTGAGCAGATCACAGCAAGAAGGAAAATTGTGATGAATGATTTGCCTGAGGCCATAGCTGAATGGACTGCAAGAATGAAAAGGAATTGCAAAATTTGCAAATGGGGAATTTGCTTTGAGATTGTATGAGAACTTAAGGATAGTACTTGATCTTATATAGAGCTAGAGAGGTGGGAGATACACTAGGCCAACTCGTATGGTTTTAGTTCAACTTTGGAGAACCAAATGGAACCTTAGCAATCTTTTTTGTTAGTTCACCTTCCTGTATTTGAATAAATCATGTTCTTATGCTGAACTGATAAAGGTGGTTGGCTATTACTAAGTTATAGTCCAAAAATTCAACTGTAGGATGACCAACTCATATTTTGTATGCAACAAATAGAGAGAGGGTACAACGATTAAGTGCATATTCATTTATAATATTTTTACTGTTGAGTTGGTTCATCTAATTTAGTTCACCTTTGCTGCCACATGTCACCCTTTACAGCCATTGGCAAACAAGATTACTACCATTTGAGGCTTTGACCACCAAATACAAATCAACCAGAAAGTGTCCCTTTGACTACCATATTGTTGGAGATTTATTTTTGTACATTTTTTAATCATCTTTTGCAATGTGTTTCATTTTTTTACTGATCATTGATACTGAATTTAAATGCATTTTACATCATCTTAAGGGCAGTATATAACTACATATCGGTGACATACAAGATTTAAAATGATGTAAATTCTATATGTTATAATATCTCAAAATTGAGAGCCTGAGCATTAGAAATCTAGATGTATCTAAAATTATATGGTTCTCATAACTTATTTATCTGCCCATTTATCCATTTGTTTAATTATATTTTTGTCACTTTAATATTAGTTACGTGTAAATTTGCTTAATTTTCTTTTTGAGTTAATAAATTTAACATTTTTAAAATTCAACAAATTTTTGCCCTTCTATTAATTTTGTTTTATTTAAAATTATTAAATTATTAATTTTTTATTCAAATATTTGAGGAGGATATTTGATAGATTTATGATATAAAATATTTATAAATGTTTAGAAATAAAAAATAAATAAATATTGATGATATTAAAATAATTAATAAGATGAGATATTGCTTTTGAAAAAGAGGATTTTTTTAATATTTTGATTTAAGATTTAATATTCTGATTCACGAGTTTCGACTAAATGAAGGTTTTAAGAGATTTAATATATTAAATTTGTAAGAAATTTAAGTAGAGAATAAGAATTTGATAATTTTAAATAGAAGAAATTGATAAAGAAGTAAATTTACTTATTCTATAAGCAGAAATATAACAAATTAAAAAAACTAAAATTTCACATAATGTAAACTAAAAAGGACTAAAAAATGCAATTAAACTTTGTGATTCACTAGTTTTGACTAAATGAAGATTTAACATAATTCAATATATTGAATTTGTAAAAATTTTAAGTAGAGAATAAGAATTTGATAATTTTAACTAGAAGAAATTGATTAAGGGGTAAATTTACTTATTTTTAAAAGCAGAAAGACTTAGTTGGCTAAAAAAAATTAAAGGAGCTAAAGTTGCACATAATTAGATACATATATTAAAATTAACTTAAGTTTAATCAATGACGTAATTTTTAATTCATCAATATTAATGTTTTTTTTTTAAATTAGATACAATAAATATGTTAAATAAATACATATTAATATTTGAAAAAAAAATTTAGAATCTTGTTACTTTATTTAAAAACTCTTATAACTATTTTTTTATAAAAAAAAATAAAGTTATACTTGTGTAAGTAACGCATTGGTGTCGCATGGGATATGAACGTCATCTTTCCATGTCGCCACCATATAATAGACTATAAATTTAGGATGTGTTTTGTTTTAAAAAAATATTTTAAATTTTATAAATAATCATAAAAGTATCTCATTAACTTTTTAAAATTTTTATAAAGAACTTATAAAACCAGTCTTTTCTTGTTTTATGAACCCAAAATTTCACTCTACGAGGCAAAATAGTATATAAAAACTTTAATTTAAAATGCATATTTTTATATGACATACTATTAAAAAAAATGAAGAAATTAAATTCGTTTTCTTTGTTGTTTTATATTCCTAAAATAAAATGAATTTCACAAACAAAATTTATTGGGAGCAATTTCAAAAAATCAATTCAAGAAAAATATGTTACACATATTATTGATATTGTAAAATAGTTTTATATCCCATCTGGTTTTTGTTTTGGGCCCTACACTATTGCTGTTCTGAGTTTGGGCTTTTGTACCCGTTACCCCCAAAACAAAAAGTGCGACAAAAATAACATTCTGGTGTTACTATTGTGGTGTGAGAAAATTTCTAAAGAAACTAATTTCTAACTTAAAAACTAAGGGTGTTTCACTAAATTATAAAAATAATTTTATAGTGATTATAATGTATTCCAACCTTTGAGCTATTTATTTAACATTTTATACCTTTTTAATTTTGTTTTGAAAAAAGTTTACTTCTATTACTTATATAACTTCTTATATTTTGTGAAAATATCTCATGTTAGTTAGAAATAGAAATAGAATATTCTTAATAAGTATTAGGAAAATCTTTCTCTTATAAATTAGCTTTTGAAAGTGAGTTAGATCTAAATTTTTTAATACGATATTATAGTTTATCTAGTTTTTGAAAATAAATGTTCAGTGTCGTATAAATATTAATGGAATTTTAAAGCGAAAAAATTTAAATTTTTTTACACTACTAAGTTAGTTTCATAATTAAACTAATGAATAAATTTCATTTGATAAGAATTGTTAAATAAATATATTTAGTTATAGAATCCGATTAAGCCTTATGCTACTGTTTATCAAATTAAGTCACACTTCAAACGCATAAAACTCGATTGGAGCTTTGCGACTTAGGAAAGCAAGTGCATGTATTTATAGAAGGTAACAAGAATTATTTATAACAAAGTGTATTCTATAACAATATGTTTCCAAGTACACGCAGTAAAGAGGGGGAGGAAACAACAATCCCATGCATACAACAACGAAATAAAAAGGAAAATGAAAGATAAAAACAAATGTTCCCCAGCAATAAATGAACAAAGTATAATATGATCATCATATTTCTACTATATCGATATGCAAACAACAGGAGAAGAGCAGAGCCAAGGTCCAAAGATTTAGTGTATAATCTTCATTCAAGGAGTGGTGGTTGAAGGTGGTGGGGACATGAAGGGGATTGAGGGCATGTTTGGCAGTGAAGGGAGAGTAGGAAGTGGTGGAAGAGCTTGTGGAATGGTTGGAATGGTAGGCATTGTTGGCATTGTTGGCATTGTAGGCAAAGGTGGAACATTTCCCTGAGGCAATGTTGGCATTGGTGGCAAAGGTGGAACAATGCCCTGAGGCAATGTTGGGATTGTAGGAAAAGGTGACAATGTTGGAATTGTAGGAATAGTTGGCAATGTTGGTTTCGGCAAAGGTATAGATGGTGTTGTCTGAAGAAGATTGCGAGCTGCTAGACCAATGTCCATGCTTGAGAAGGAAATAGCAATGAAAAAAGCCAAGATGAAGCAACTCTTGGAGGCCATGTTAGAAGACTTTCCTTTGTTATAAATGATAGAGGACTTTTGCTTTTGAGTTTTTATGTGCATATTCCAAATACTAGTGGCTACCCTTTTATAGCCCAAGTCCGTTTTCAGGTTTCTTCATGTTTGCTAACCTTCCTTAGATAACTCAAATACTTTGTTGAACTACCTTGGTGGTGGTGGTTGGCTAGTATACCATTGGGGATTCAAAAGTAGGACATCCAACTTTTTTTTCTTTTGAATACTTTATAAGAGGGAAAGTTAGATTTTCACTTTTGTGGGTTTGCAATGTGTTTTGTAGTTTAACATTCAGATCCTTTTCAGGAAGAATAAATGAATATTAATTAGAATTTGTCCATTGGTTTGGTATGAGTTGATATTGTTATTTTCTAAACAAATGTTAGTTTTTCTAGTAAACATTCATAATAAATGTCAAATATTTTTTAATAACTAATAAAAGTATAATGAAAGTGTGATACATTAATATATACAGTAACAATGAGAAAAATATAAAATGTTCAAATAAAATTAAAAAAGAGGAGATGAGTTTTCTGCTACTAATCTGTACAAATTCATGTCATTACATAGCTAGAGACTGTATGTAATGAAGTCTAAAATATGAAAACTAAAATTGTACCCAATTATAAGAAACAATTACCAATATTTTTTGTCCTAAATATTAGAAACAAAGACCTTTATCAAATGCACTAATTATTAAGTTCTTTTAATACTCATATTTATTGTAAAATTTGTGTTAACAAAATATCCATCCTTTATTTATAATAGTAAATATATTCATTCATTTTATATAACACACTAATTTAACCATATAAGATTATGACTATTTCTAAAATAAAGGATAAATTAATTATCTATAACTACTTTTATTAGTTCGATTTAAACACTACTGTTTGGATTACAAATCTAACACACTAATTTCTGTATACCAAATTTATCGTTCCTCCTCATCACTCTTAGTGCAAGTTTAAGCAGATTATCCAATTAAGGTGCATAAATATTAATTTTAGACATAAGCAGCACTAAAACAATTAGCCTTCAGTGGTCCTAAAAGGGCTTTTACAGCATAAAATAAAATGCAGGACATAGGTTGGTTTAAGAAAAGTAGAACTTTACGGAACTAGTCACTAGTCTAACAAATTTAAAAATTTATTATTATTAGATCATCAAATTTCTTCTTAAAATTTTGAAACAAATAATTATATATTGTAAATTATAAGTTTAAATATAAATATTTTGAATTATTTAATCTGAATTAATCAAATAAATCATTAAAATTATTATTTTATATTACAATTATGTTTATTTGTTTGGACAAGAAACAAAGAGGCACATGACCAAACAAACAGAGTTAGGCAAACCCAAGTCCAAACAAAAAGCATTATAACATGGGCCCAACAAAAAATATTAACAAAGGAGATCAATTACAATCCAGAAAATCAATTCAAAAATTGTTTGAATGTGGATCCGAAAAAAAATTAAATATAAAAAGAAGAAGGGTTATTTGAATTTTTTTATTTAATTTATATTTAAAAATTAGTAAAATAATAAATTATAATATGGTAGATATAAATCAAATAAAAAGATGAGATCAAATATAAAAAATTTTAAATTTAAAAAAAATCATTTCTCATGTGAAAATTAATTTTGCATGTTAACCCAAATAATTCATCACCAGCAGAAGAACATGTTTCCCAACCACTAAGAGGATAGATACCTACACCAGCCATTGGGGCCCAGTTTAATACATAATTAAGGAAACTGTAGATCGATAGTTTAAATAGATTGATGAACTTCTTTTACAAACTTAGATTCTCTTAATGGCAAAATTTAAATAAAGTATAAAAGGTACTTTCATTTTTTTTCTTTTATTAATTGAGAGGATAAAACGTGTGGCCATATTGGAGGCTCAAAATCCACACAGCTATGCTGGAATGCAACAAACCACAAGAATAAGGCTAAGGTAAAGTTGTCACTTTATGGACAACAACAAAAGTCTCTGGTTTTTACTGCAGCTTAATCATGACATATATTTTAGGAGCCACATGTCTCTGTCTCTTAGGTTCTTACACAAACTAATATTGGTCAACCAGACATTAGTTATTGCTTGTGAATTTAACAAAAGATCAGTTAAATTCTATGGAATTTCATATATACAAAACAAAAATTCATTTTGCTGAAAAGTGAGGGATTTATTTTTTAATTTTATCGTGTTTAGTATTTACAGGACTATTAAAATGTGTTTAGTAATGAATATGTATGCTTAATTTTTTATTATGAATTTATTATGCATTGTTCTAATTCTCTTGATATTTAGTATCATTTGATTGTAAGTGTGTTAGGCTTTTTTAATCTATAAACATTTAATAAAAAAATTCTAAAAATTGTGTTTTCACTTAAATGATGGGTGGTTTTGTATAATTTGCAAAACTAATTATCAAAATGCAATATCAATTGATATGACTTAAATATATATTTTTTAATCTCTATTTATTTTTTCACTTTTAATCCATAAAAATTATGAAATAATTATGTGTTTTTTAGTCTCTTTTAAGAGATGGTTGAGGAAGTACATTATTTTTATTGAATATGAAGAATTGAAGACTAAAACTAAAAGTATTTAAATAATAACAAATAAAAAATATACATTTTTAAAAATCAAAATTATTTAACCATTTATATAAACACTTTTCTTGTGGATTATACTATAGCAGTTTACCTCATCTACTATCCTATATTATCTTATTTGATACAAACATTATTGTTTTAAATTCCTTTACAAATGTTTAAATATCTCAAGTTCAAATGAAATCTTCTCAATATCCTATGCATTAGCAGAAATAAACATGTATCCTGATGAAAAGCCTTGCCTCTTGAACCCACGAATAAGGGATAAGTAAACATTGTATTTTTAATTGGAAAAACGATGAAACTAGAAAGAACTTGTCCCATGCATGTATCACGGATTCTTAAAATTGAAGGATTAAAACTATTCATTTTTCTCGTTTTACAAAGATGTGACCTATACTTGAGAGGCTGACATTGTGGAAAAGTTTTAAATAAGGCATAGCTAATAAATACTGTGGCTTAATTATATTATTTTCGTTATAAAAGTAGTATTTTTTGAGATAACATTTTTTCTAAAAAAATTTTACAATATAGTTTTATTTTTTTTAAATATAAAAATTTAATCACTATCACCAACTATATTTTGTTATGCAATGAATTATTCAACGAAAATTCAATTCATACAAGTTATAATTATTTTTAATATTTTATTGTTTAAAAATTAATATTTACAAATAAATTTTTAAAGATATTATGTTATTTCAAAAAAAGTCTTTAATGTATTAACAAAATGCAAACTATCTATCTCTTCTTTCTAGTGTGTGTGCCTATGTGTGTGTAAACAATGTAATAATATAGTTGTATCATGGATCACGAGTGTGTGAACGACTATAATGCTATGATTGTATCATGAATCACGAGAATGTTCAATCAACAAATCGCTTGGTGAACTTTTTGGTAACACTTGGTAAGTAGACTAAGCTTCGATGTAATAATTTGATATCGTCCTTGAGGATTTGGTGATAATAATAATTTTCTTTCTTGTTGTATATAAAAATATAAAGAATGTGATGAAATATTGATTTGTTCTAAAATATATAAAAGTAACAAATTGAAATTTAGCAGAAAATCTTATACGAGAAGAGATCAGATTCAAATATATTTTCTAACTCTTTTATCTTCATTGAATAAATATGATTTCAATTCTTTTACTTCCACGTTCATTACATAACTTAATCAGATCTCTCAAAATTAAGTCCTAAGGTAATTATTCCTACAACATGATTCATCTATGTTTTAAGATTAATACCTTGCATTAAGAACAAAAGTTGAACATGTGGCTAACAACCCCAAGTCTATTCCTAGTACAAGTGATTATTAGGTGTGTGATTCAGTTCGGGTTTTCAAAAGCATTTTCCAACAGAATTCAAAAGTCAAAGATCATAAACCAGGTGATCAAGCCAAATTAAGCATTAAGAATAGAATCACACTCAAGTAAATAAACTGAAAAATCATATAAAATCACGAATTAATTGAGTTAAGAGTTATATTGAATCCAATCCAAAAGAAATTAGTCATTCATAGTGAGGGCCATAGCAAGATGCAGACTGAAATTACAATAAGAAAAAGTGAAGATGCGATCCTCGTTCTGAAGTGATCCTCCCCACGTCTTCCGTTGCTTCATTCTTCCTTTTTTCTTTCTCCAAAAAATCTCTTTTTTTCTCTGATCTATTATGCTTTTATTGTCCTTTTTTACTTCCTAGACGTTTTTCTTTTATAGGTCTTCAAAATAAGGAGAATTCGAACAGATTTTAACTCCATGGTTATAGCTATGGATTCACTGTTGTAGCTATAGATTTGACTTGCACTAATTCTCTCACGGCTGTAAATGCAGATTCACAGCTTTGACTGTAACTCTATGGAATCCTCCTTTTGTGTCACACTTTCATAGCTATAGCTGTGGCTTTGGAGCTGTAGTCCTAAATTTCAAACTTCACCAAATTTTGCACAAAAGAGAGATACTTTAAAAGAAAATACTACCACTTTTGTGACTTCTTCAATTAGATTAATTCATCCAATTGGGAGTTAAATATACCCAAAATTATTTATATTTCAATTGAAAAAAATGTGTCAAATTAATGATAGAATATGAATTTCTAGCACTTAACATAGCTCAAAGCACTATGTATATTAACAACACTTAAGAATTCTAGGAAAATCAGATAGATCGCTTTAAAAAGTAGATTACTTTAAAATGTTTGATCTTCTGCAAGATATTCATTCGATAAAGCAAGGAGAAATGAATGTTTCTTCTTATTTCATCAATCATAAAATACAATGGGAAAAATTAGAATTTTTACAATCCACTATTTCATGTACTTTACAATGTTCTTGCAAATCAGCCAATACAATGAAAGATTATAAAAAAAAAACTGAACATGCCATATGCTTTCTTAAGGGACTAAATGAACAGTTCAGCTTATGGAGCCTTTTCCTTCCATAAATAAAATATTCTCGTTGTTATTACAACGAGAAAGAAAGTTAGGAAATGCAATCCTAGAAGAGTTAAAGATTTTATTCAATAATGTTGAACAAAATTTGCTTTAACAAAGGAAAGAATGGTACAACCATGTTGCAAAATATTGGTTTTGACTCAAACCATTTAGTAAACCAAGTAATTTTGCTCATGATATTACACTCTTCGTATCTTAGCATAATAATAATAATAATAATAATAATAATAATAATAATAATAATAATAATACAGGTAAAAATCTTAATTTTCATACTTGAATTTTAGACAGTGTTACACACATAATCAGTGGTATCAAATTACATGCCATATTTTAAATTTAATATATATTTCTAAATTGACTAATATGCTCAGCTGTAAATTGATTTTTAATCAGGAATCTTGTATCATAAGAGAGATCCATTCACTTATGATAATTAGATGTGCTAAAATTCAAAATAGTATATACATATTGATTGAACCTATAAGTGTCATCAAACTACACTCAAATATTGTAAACTCAATTTCAAATGACCACCGTAATGATTTGAATTCTGATTTTGATCTTTGGTGGTGCATATTTGGCCATTCTTTATCTTCTATTTTATACACTATTTATAAAAAAAATTTATATGAAATATAATTCAAAGCTCATTTGTGACAATTATCATTTAGTTAAACGAGTAAAATTATCTTTTTCTAACAGTACCGCTAGAAAAATGATATTTTTAAATTGACTCATATGAATATGTGGAGACCAATAAGCATATCATCAATACAAAGGTATAGATTCTTTATGACCATGATGGATGATTTTAGTAAACACACTTAGTTGTTTTTAATTAAATCTAAATCTGAAATAAAAGTTTGGTTCAAAATTTTATTAATCTAGTTAGGACACAATTTCACAGACATATTAAAATTGTCAGAATTAATAATGAAATTGAGTTTCATATGTTCAATTTTAGTAGGTTTTGGTTAGAAAGCCAGTCAACTAGCTATTATATCAAATTCTTTGTTTCTAATACTGTCATTATAGTTAGTATTTTATTAAGATCATTAGTTAATTCTGTTATATATATATATATAATTCCTTTCTGTATCTGCATGAGATAATACCAAATTCTGATTACATTCAAACATACAGGCTTCTTTCAAATTTCTTTTTGATAAAAAATCAACAAGTTTCAATCACTATCACTATTCACAAGTTTCTATGCCATCTTCGAAATTTCGCTTTCAGTTAGTGTGCATTTCCAGCAACAAGCATTGTCAAGTCCCATGTTAGCTCCCAAAATGTTAGCCTCTTGAACTTCACTATTTGCACCACAAGGAAACCCAACCCGTCCCACAGTTCATGCCGAACCAAGGTAACAGCTTTCTTGTCAGTGCCCATTTCTTCTAATTCAATTCTTGTTGATTTGTTCACCTTGGCTCTGGTTAGGACTTATACCATGTTTTAAACCCTTTAAATGAAGAAACATTTTATGGGTTGATTGTTCATCTTTCAAGTTAGTTCAATTTTCACCCTTCTTGTGCGGTAAGGTAAGAGCAAGCATTTGGTGGAGAGTGTTGGGAGATTAAGAGGGAGAGAGTGGGGTTGAAGATGCTGTGCTCGTTATTACTTTTAAAATAATGAGATTGAAGATGATGGACTCATTACTAATTTAAATATATATATATATATATATCAAATTTTTTATAAATATAAATTTTAAATAATAAAATATTAAAATAACGATGAGTGACACTGAATTTTTGTTATCCATTTTATCAGATATATTTTAAAAATATTAAAGACTAAGTTATAATAAAAATTAAGACAAATGTTACTTTCGATTCTCTCAAGATTAAAGTAACATCATCTCAGTCTTCCATTTTCCATTATGCTAAATTATTCCTTTGAAAATAGAAATGTCATGAAACTAATTAGTCCTTGAAAGGCAAAATTGATTGCATTAATTATCACTGAAGGACCAATTTGAAAGTATTTGATTTGATATCCTTAGATGGGTCATATTGAAAGATATTTCTACCTCCTTAATGACAGGGTTCAGAAATTCAAGATTTGAACCAAATAAAAAGAAATTAAAGATAAGAAGTCTGATACATTAAAGTCACAAGGAATAATATGCTGTAGTAAAACTGACTCAAACAACCTAAAAGCTGAACATAACATGTAACATATCAATACATACATAAAATAAAAATTAGAAACCCCAACAGAACCACCACAAATTATAAATAATACATTCAAGAATTAACAGTACAAGTTACTACTAGAATTCATTTCAAGAACTTTAGGTGCTCATGGGTTTATCACAACGTCTGGAATTGCTACTTTAGGCAACTTTGGCAGTTCAGAAGCTCCAGGGATTGGAATATTTGGCAATGGAGGCAACTCTGGCTTTGGAAGTGGTGGCAGTAGTGGCAATGGCATTGACAAATCAGGTACAGAAGGTAACTGTGGCTTTGGCAGTGGTGGCAGACCAGATATTGGAGGTAAGTCTACATTGGGAACTTTTGGCAATGGTAACGTTGATTGTAGCAGGTTACGTGCTCCTGCAACCCTTGTGTCACTCATCATAGATGCAAAAGTAAGAAGCACGAGAGGTAAAATGAATGAGAAATTGCTAGAACCCATTGTTGGAGCTATGCAAAATGATTTTCTTATGCTCGAGATAATGCTTTTTGAGATGTTACATGTGCCCTTTTATAGACAATTCAGGATAACTTATGGTTCGTCCAAATTCTTACATATTCATCGTGTCAACATAAATGTAATGTAATAATAATTATAATAAAGGTACCTGTCAAATGTCAATAATACCAATCATTAGAAGCTTTTAAACTTGAACCTTTTTTTTTGTTTTATATTTTTAATTTGCTTACTTTTATTACAATGATAAACTCGATTTTGACTCTTCTGAAGTGCAGAGTGCAATCTGTTCTTGGTGAAACCAACTTCAGCTAGTGCATCTCCTTGTTAATTCAAATTGGACTCTATTTGAGAAATTTATTTTTAATGAAACTGCCTAGGATTAAATAGTCTGAAATAGATGTTAAGGAATGTTTTTCTTCTGATGAATCCACTTTCATATTTAAAAATCAGAATTCTTCTGACGAATCCACAATTCTAACATAGAAAATTCAATGGAAAAGCAATTTTCGGGTCTAACATTCACCGCAAGAAACTAATTGATGCAATAATTATAAAAATGGCTTTATTAATAAAATTATATGTAAAATTTCATAAATTAAAGCAATTTTTTTTAACAAAATAGTTTTTTTAAAATTTATTTAGGACACATTTTGGCTGAGTTTGAATAAATATCCTAATTAAACACTTATTCAATAACTCTTCTTTACATGACAACTTATGACAAATTAGAATAAACTAAAAAATTATATTGATAAATTATACTGAAAAATATTTAAATAAATATAAAAAAGTATATAAAAATTATAAAATATTTTTATAAGTTATTTATATCTTCTTCCAAACTCTATCTGTTAAACAACGGAGCTAAATGGAGTTTTATAGATGGATGTGAAAATTGACATATTTCTCCTTTTTTATAGCTTAATTATATTTGTTGCTTTTTAAATTAGGATTACATCTAATTTTTATCCTCCTAATATATTTTGAGCTAATTATGTTCTTAATTTTAAATTTTAAGTAACTTTAATTTTCAATTGTTTTTATTTTACTTAAATTATTATTGTTGATATATTGATAACTCATCAAAGGCATGACCCATTTCATATTTTGGATTCCACTCACGTGACTGAAGCACGTGGTGCAACTAGTTGAATAGGGAAGTGACAATGCAGAGAATGAACCTCTCCCAGACAAAACAAAATTAATTCATAAAATTTGGGCACGTAGCCATTGAGATAAGAACTTATTGGCTCTAGTCTTTTTTTACCAGATGATAAGATGAAACATTTTGTCCCATTGGAGGCTCAAATCCAAAGCATGAAGCTGGCATGGCACGTGACAAGTTGTCCCTTTAGGTATGTGGCTTTTGTACAAGTTATCATGATAACATCTTAAACTCGGACACAACCACATGTACATCAACCTATCAGGTTCTTCTCTACCATAGAGCTAGAGTCGTTAACCACATATTTTTACTTTCAATTACTTGTTATATCATATATCATTGTACAATTCATTAGAAGTATTAAATTTATATTTTTAAAAGCCTTGTCTCTTGTACGTAGGATGGAATATTAACTTCGTACTTGTGAAAAAACTTATGCTTTTTGTAAGGGACGATGAAATCAGAAGCAACTTGTTCTTTGTGTGGCAGGTTCTTAAATTCTGTGATGGAAATTACTCCATCTTGATTCTTGTAGTACAGATAGGTGACCTCTACTTGGGGGGCTGCACTACCTTAACGTTTTAATTGAAATACTTAGTCTTACATCTGGAACTTCAACTGATCATAAGTTCGAAATTTTGTAGAGAAATGCAATACAAACTATGATGAAAATGTATGCCTAGATGATTCCTTATGTGTATAGATAATGAATGAATCCCACAAATCTTACCTACCTGAAGATAAAACAGATGGAGTTAAGGAACACATATGTTACTCATAGCTTAATTTGGCTATATCGGAAGGAATTTCTGCACTCATAAAATATGAATAAAACCTGGATAGAGCCACTCTCTAATTGCAACAACAAAATATAAATGAGAAGCCGATTCAATAGTAGTACTAGTTAGTAGAGCAAAATACTAGTTTAAGGTGGTATTGTCACAGCATGAAACTCTGGATTAGGAACACCATGTCGCAGCAATTGTCTTGGCAATGCATTGTCATCGATTTGTTTCATGGGATCAAGAACCCGACACAAAACTCCTGTGGTTAACAGGTCCTCTCATGCCATGAAATAGCATAATTTTTTCATCTGCCATACATTGTGGCACATATGCATATCCATCACATAAAGTGAACAAAATAACAAAATGAAAACGTAGGCTAATCAATTCGTTGTGCATTCACAATCTGAAAAGTGACAAATGTGAATAAGGTGTTAATAAATATACTATTATGCCTTACATGCATGTTAAACTAACGGTAACTAACTACCAAAATACAATTTTAATTAATTATTTCATATGCTAATAATACCAGACATGCTTATCTGCAAACGAACGTGTGTAAGATTAAAGCTACAATGAAAACAGAATTATTGATGAACTGCATAACAGTCTATAGGATAGAATAGCTGTATCCAAGAAATTCATTTATTCGGTCAACAAAATGAAATTTCTAGACATTTCAAAAGCGGGGAAGCACAAAATTATAAAACTTAAACTCCTCAGAATAAAGACAAAGCTAATCTGACACAAATGGAACGAATTAACTTCTTCAATTTTGAAACATAAGAAAGAATTTATGCTGTCACAATGGCATTGCATGTACTGAGAGCTTTTTTCTGCCATACTGAAGAAGGTAACTCCTAGCCATCATCAATTCGCCACATCTTTGGTAAAAAATTCTTAAGGCATGCACCATCCAGTACCAATATGAGAGTTCGAGGTCTTCGTGTGTTATAATATTTTTGAGTAACCTAACAATCAATTTTATGAAACCAAGTCCTCACTAACTTCATCAAAGGCTTCCCCAGTTAAAAAAAAAAAAAAAACTCAGCACCATACATACATCATAATGAAAAATTGGTGTGATTATCAATATCAGCGTTCAACCCATCAAATGTAGAACTAGGCAACCCGTGCTATGCTACTATCTACATGGTTTGCACAAGCAATGAACAATAATTGGTAGGTAAATTTGTATAGCTTCAACCCCAAGATTTTCATTGTATCTGTGCATATAACCCAAATAAAAAAAGAGCGTAATGTACCAAAGGTTAAAAAGAGCATGCATCGCGATTGTTTATTTAAATATTTGTAAGATGAAAAGCGAAACCACGTGAAGTCTTCAAGGTTTATGTTTTCACAACTGGATTTCTGTCTCTAGTTTTCACTTGTGTTTGGCAATGAACATTGCAGAGGCTTGGTGGCCGAACCTACACTTGCAGACAGGAAGGTTTCAGGTATTTCTCTGTGGTTTGAAACCAAAGTGGTTAAACTAGAGAGTTTAACATAAATTTGTAGGGTCTATAAACTTAACTCGTAAACTCGTAAGATTCACTTCATGTAAAAATAACGTTTAAAAAACCATGATAATAAAATAAAGCTCAATAGTAAATGTAAAATCATACTTAAATAGCTAAATCATATAATATTAATGTGATTTTCATGCTCTAACTGTAAATGTCGTGTTTCACAACTTGCATAAAGGGAAGAAAAGTAGTGCACTAATTCCAAATGGTTTTATTTTGATTAAAAAAAAGTGATATTTTCTTTGTTTTATTAAACTCAAAGTCAGGTGTAAACTCCTGAATTTATCCTATTTCAACCAAGTTACCCAAAAACAAGTTTATATGCAATTTGATACGATCTCCTTATTTAAGATCGTAAGCCCGTATACGAGTTTAACAACCTTGTAACTATGTCATTTCTTCACAAGAGAGATGGTGGGAAATGAGATTGCGAAGGACTAGGAGCTTGATTTAAACGACATTTACAAATATCATAATGACTTATGAGGTAAAAGAACATAGACAATACTTGAGAGAGAATCATGTAACAGCTAGATAGCTACATTTCCGAAAAAAGGGAAGGGAAGTGGGGAACACTAGCATCAGCAGAATATGTATTAAAAAAATTTCATCAAGCCCACAGTACATTATGACCTCTTAACATTTTCAAAAAGCAATACAACAGACAAGTGAAATGGTAGGGGGTATGTTCAAATCAATCGAATTACAATCATTTAAAATTGGACCAAAATACTCAGCCTATGCTTTTATAGTCCTACCCAAACTCAATTTTAGAAAAGCAACACAATACATTACACAGGAAAATAGAAACAAAAACTCAGCACCAAAATATTTTGTTTTTTGCAGAAATTCTGCCATTTTCCTCCAGTGTGGTTCCCCGGTAATCCAATGTCCATTTCTCGAATGAACAGTCAGTGAAGTCGTAGTAACCACCATGAATAGAGAGTTCTTCATTTGCGACCTTTTCTTCTATCCAGGGGTAAGTAAGTAGGTTCAATAAGGAATCGTTAACTGATTCCTGTACAAAAAAGCACTTAAAAGCATAAGGAAGTTTTCAACATAATCAGTTTTTTTAAGGATTAATATTTGCATGACTCCTGCTAGTTAGACTTGGATCCATATCAATTAATAAGAAGCAGAAAATGATAGCGAGACATTCAATGAAAACCTCAAGAACACAGAATTCAGAAAGAAGTGTTCATTTTCTTTTGAGGGATGTAGATCCTACTTTCATAAAGGGGCAAAATATGACAGGTTATGCACCCAGGCTAAACAGTCAGTACTAATCTTGCCCAATTTTATTTCTTTGAAGCACTGGAAAACCCAATATGGGCATCAACATATGTCTACAATAAATTATTGTTGGCTATAGTAATCCAAAACTGAGGAGAAGGATGAATAAAATGAAAAATCAAATGAATACATAAAATGTTTAAATTCACCAAAAGCACATTCAGAGAAACTGCGGACTAGGCTTCAAGATTAGTTGTCTAAACCCAAAAGAATAAAAAACTGGGGGCGGTCAAATACCAGAAACCATCTTGCACTAATTGGGAACATTTCATAAACTCATCGAAATTTCAGCAGCCAAATTACACATTCAAATCTAAGAACAAAAAATATCACCTTCTCACAATGCTTGCATTGCTCATCAAAGCTTAGGTTGGATGCAGCAGCCTTGGCTTTTATTCTCGCATTCTTCCCGATGACAACCCAACTTTTTATAAAGCTATTAGGAAAAAAATATATATTCAAGTGAGAAGTTTACACCACACTTTTACTAAAGAAAGTGAAAAGGACAACCAACATCTAGAATTAAGCACCTTTTTTCGTTGGCATCATCTTGCATACTCATAAGGGCACGTATACCACCACAGCAGCTATGGCCAATGACTAAGAGGTTCTCAACCTGCAATGAAAATAATAGTCTCCCTTCAAAAATAAGTACAAATCTTGCAATTTTCTGACCAGCCATTTAAAAAGCTTTTCGAATCTTATATACTCAAACATTCAACAAATATTTCTTGCAAACTCTAACTATTAGAAGCTATGTCATATAATGATATGTTATTGGTTGACTTCACTTGTCCCATGCTTAATAAGTAATTTGCAATGAACATAATAATGCTGCAAAAAGAAAAGGCATATCCCCCCTCCTTCATTTCCCATTCTATTCAAACTCAACCTTTTCCTTAGAAGATGTAATTATTATATCAGTCATTATTTTAACCAAAATAATTTTGTACTTTAAATTAATAAATAATCACCCAAAAGGAAATGTGAAGAAGTAAATATAAGCATAAGAAGTTTCCTAAGATAAATCCTACCTTGCACTTCATAGGTGGTACAGAAAAAGCTTACCTGAAGGGTATTTACAGCAAATTCTAGTGCAGCATTTGTTTCTGAGGGTCCACTCTGCATCAGAGAAAAGGAATTAGAAGCAAGTAGGATAATTCTTTCATTCACACTTTAGCAATGATAATAATTTGGTAAACGTAGACAATCAAATCAATAGCAGTGAGACTTGTACCTCAAAGGGAGGAACCAAATTAGCAATATTGCGAATCATGAATGCTTCTCCCGGTTGAAATCCCAAAATATTGGAGGGGCAAACCCTAGAATCTGCACAAGCAATAACCATAAACTGTTCCAGAGATTGTTAGTAAAGAATATTTATTTGCTGATGCTTCAGAAGGCAAATTGAAGAAATGAGCTGAAAGAAATAACTAGCAAACCATAAATCAATACAATAAATAACTAAAGGCTTGACCATATGGATGAGTAACAGAAAGGAAGAAAGAGAACAAATTACCTTTGGTGCTTGAGCCTTTGCAAGATTTTCAAACTGTTCAATATTTTTCCTGCCATAAAGCAAAGTCAGCATTAAATAAGCCTCTCCCTTAGTTTAGGCATAAAAAATTAACATTTTTTGCCAGGGTGTTTCCGTAGCTTACATGTATTTATTCTTTTTGAAACTTAAAAACCTATCCTTCAAATCATTAAATATAACACACCCCTCTTCAGCTTCAGCTAAAGTCTCTAGCTTGTTATCAAGTTTCTCTGTAAATCCTGGTGGCCCCATTGAAGCCTTCAACGCGAAACCTTGACTTCTCCTACAAACATCAGAGCAAGGTGTAGAAGTCTCGAAAAAAAAGGGTTCCCATGGATTTCAAATTTCAACACAATTAGAACAATTCAATTCAGAGTTCAATTTTTTAATGATAATTAACTGTTCTTACTTCTAAGGATAACTGCAAAAACCGAAATTCAGTGAGGCAAATATCAGAATCAGGACCCATACATACAGATTACAAAGAATGAAAACCACAGCAGTGGACTCTGTTTACACAAAGCATCAGCCTCATTTATAGAATAGGGATTAAAAGATTTGGAGTTATCAAACAAGAGAAGATTGCAGTATCAATATGCAATTAATCATAAGGAATCTGCAAGTCCAGAACCCGAATTAGCAAGAGATCAGAATACTTAGTTTCCTCTATGAAATATTATCAACGTACAAGCTCTCCAATGAGATTAATTGCATATTAATAAATATGCCATTTACACAATGTTCAGAAGAGATTCAAGGTTTGTAATCATTCTCATTTATTTTTGGCAGATCAAGAATTTACGAATGAATTATGACATTTACATACAAATATTAAACGAGTCGTCTTCGATAAATATTTTCTTTTCAGAGATAGATTATCTCTCTGCTCTAAAACAATGGGAGGTTCAGAAAATTACACTAGCAAGTAATGAACACCCCAGACATGAAAATTTAATTCACACAAAAACAAGCCAAGTAAGCGAATCCAACACTATTGCATCAAGCACTCACCTTAAAGCCGTGAACAATCTGAAATGGGTTTGCTCAATTTGCCCCTTTTTCAGCGTACGGCCAAAGATCTACGACAGCAGTGTCACTATATAATTAGCTAATTCACAGATACAAGAACAAAATGGGCACGTGGAAGATCAAGCATATAATGTGTGAAATGTGAAAACATAACAAGAAATACCGTTAATGATGGAGGCTCAATGCAAGAAGTGGAGGAGGATAAAGGAAGAAGCTTGGAAGAAGCAAAGGGATCAGCTGAAACAGAGATTGGTGGAGGAACTGCCATTAAGAGAGCTCAAACTGAAATGAAAGTTGGGAACTGAATAGAACAGTCATGGTTGGGAATTGAAAAAGAGTGGTGGTGGGTGCGAAGTTGGTTACATGAGTAAACAAACACAGCATGTTTTTGTATTAGGTTGTCTCCAAGAAAGACGGAGAAACCAATGTGCTTATGTAAAAATAAAGCGAAAAAAAAAAAAAAAAAAAGGTTATTCTTTTGCACCAGCACCACCAGTTGCCCATGATTCCGTCAATCCATGCTTTTGACTTTCTGACTTCTGAGAGCAGAACCAAGTAAATATAATTAGCGGAAAGTTCTGGAATACAGATGCAACTATGTATGGTGAAAATGGAAAGTCCACAGAAGAAAAGAATGTCAACATAGTGACAGATAGCAAAAGCCTGAACACAACAAGGGTATGAATAAATTATCACAGATCAGATCAGATCCGATCCACATACTGCCAATTATTATTATTATTATTATTGAAAACTATAATTAAGATCAATTTTAATATATATCTAAATTACATTTAACATTTTAAAATTATTTTTATTTATATTCATTAGTTAAAAAATACTTATCGATATTTCACTCAATAACTACGGCATCTTCCTATTTTTTCTTAAATACTTGAAAACTAATTCATAGACACTTCTTGGATGGAGAGAGAGAGAAAAGAGGAAATAAAAAGTGAAAAATATTATAGATGATATGTGTTAGATAAAAAATCAAGAATATAAATGAGCATTAATATTTATAAATAAAAAATATAAATACTTATATCTTTAGTTATTGATTATTTCATTCTGTTATCATGGTGGGGAAGTTCTAAAGTTTAGAAACTTTAAGTTTGTTTGTTTTTTATTTCTAAAATTTTTTTTAATAAAATTAATTGTTAATATAAGTTTTATTTTATTTTTTCTTAAAAATAATATTTTAAAATATAATTTTTAAAAATTAAAAACTATAACAGAAACAAGCAAACCGCACCCAAGTTAGCAAGGGTGAAATGATGAGACTCAAAAGGGCTATGCATAATAGGAGCAAAGATTGTGGCACAGATATAAAGGGAGGAAGTAGAAAATAGGAACAACCAGGTTTGTAGCTTTGTACATGTTAAAACTTAGTTTTTGTTTTGTTTAACATTTGAAAATGATATTTGTACGGCAGATTCTTGTACACCATTTATATTTCCAATTACTGGATTCATTCTAAAATAGCTATTATTGCTTTTTACTGCAAGGACAAGATTTCATAAATTCAGTACAACTCAATTTTCTTTTTGCCTTCAGTGTAATTTTAAGTTCTAGCTATAGTTAATATGTGATTTAGTTTTTCTAAATAATTTTTAGTCAAATTTAATCCTTATGTTTTGAATTGTTACAGTTGAATTCCTTTACTTTTTTTACTTAAAACTTTTAAAATTTTATTTTCTATTTAAGATATCCACAAACTAAATTTATTAAACTTTTCAATGAAAATTCGCCAATTAAAATACCAAATTTGACCTGAAATAAAAAATCTCAAATTACCATAGAGTTTATCGAATGTCCCCTAAGATTTGTACTTGAAAATTTTGAAATTATTCTATATCCCAAATGCATTATAAATATCTAACTATTTAAATAAAAAAATAAGATTTTGAAAATTTTGAATATAAATTAATGAAAAAACTATTTATTTAATTTTAATAATTAATAGTCATTTTATCCCTCAACTTGAATACACGAGGTAGTTTAACTCCTAACGTAAATTAACTAATAGTTACCAAGTTCAAGAATCAAGTTAATGATTATTGACAAATTCAAAGCCTAAATTAACTAATTTCATAATGTAATGAGACCAAATTATCTAATAATATCAATATCAAATTGAATTATAATTGTCAAAATAAGGAACTAAACTTATCAAGATGAAAATTATTCTTTTTTCAACGATGAAAATTGATCATTAAGGCTAATTTCATGTTTCGCTGAATCAGCAACAAAATTGATGTTTTCACTGGATTTACAGAAAAGTAAAACCCGTTCAGTTGGGCAAATAGTTGATCCAATAAAAGCGTGGGCAATTGTCAAAAACAAAAAGGTGTAGGTCTACAAAAAGTGTGGCACCAAACCCTTTGATACCAAAGGAGGAAGAGCCAAAAAAAAAAAAGGTCGACCCAAAAAAAGAAAAGAAAAGAAAACCAACGTGACAATTCGATTAGTAGAATTCATTATAATTTATACTAACAGCGCATAATGAATTAAGGCACCTGCTATGATCCCTGTCGATGAATTGTTTCGATACCATTATGGACTTCTTCTTCTCATGACCCAAATGCTAAAAGAAAGTATAATTTGTTCTGATCGGATCAAGTGAAGGACTAAAATCAGAATGCTCAAAGCTATAGGAAGAAGCTACATCTGAACCAATCGTAAGCTTTTACAATCATTGCCCACCACTAAAACTTATAAAAGGAGGAGATATTATTAGCCTATATCTCAAAGGGCTTAAAAAATATAAGCATAGAACCATACGGATAAGCAGCATCAGGAATAAACTCCACAATTCATAAATATTTAAGAAATGAGAAAGGCTAACAATGTATAATTCACCGTTGGTTGAATTTTACTGGAGCCAAAATTATGAATGGAATTGGTTAAATTGGAGGTAGGACCCATATCATTTCATGATTTCTTAAAAATTTCAACTAGTAATAAATAGTGTGTTGAAAAGAATATGCTATTTCTAGTGTGTTGCTAGCACCATCTCTTGAAAAGCAATATTCCAAACGGATACCCCATTGGACTCAGGCAAATATCAGCTAGTTGACAATTTAAAAATCTTAGGCAAGTACAAAGTCCATATGCTATCTCTAATCTCTAATGAACATGAATGTATCCTTAAACTACATGAGCAGTTAAAAATGCCGAAGACCTAAAGTTATTACCACCACACCCAGGCATTGCTTTTAATAAAAAAACTTTATAAGTCTGTATGAAATGGAGAGAAAAGACTCGAAATAGGCAAAACAACAAGATCCTAAGTGAGAGCACAGCTAATGTACAAAGCCAAAAGCTTCTGGAGAATTTAAACTTCTTTCAACTTTTACCATACACAGCATTTAAACGCCGCATTGAACAAAGGGAAACCAGCAACAACTTTTCTTTTCAGAAAATCTTTACCTCACAAAAGAAGAGAGCAGGGCCCCCAAAATACCAAAGAAGAACACAACAGAACAAACACCACTACAACCCAAAAAAAAAACAGTGAGAAAACCTCGTGATATCATCAGGAAGAACTTAGGATCATCTACATGAATCAACAAGACATGAACACAAAACAGAACGCCTGTATGCATGAGGGAAGTGTTTCACATACAGGGTATTGCTAACAAGATCGCTAGTGTTCCAACAAATAACACCTACATATAAATAAGATGAGTAGATGACTGTCACACATACAGTTAAGAGTTAAGGATTGAACTACAACTTGAATGAGTAGTATAGTCTTTCCTCGACAGAACATGAGATAAAGTAATTCTCCTTGGATAATTCAAAGCAGAGTGAGGAAGTAATGCCGCAATTTATTGAAGACTAACAACGATAAGAATTCACAAAGGCTCGTCAGCATCATTTGGTGCGACAAGTTGCAACATACAATTAACATCTATCACAACAAAAAGCAGGGGCCTACCTACAAAGACTAATGACCCTTAACCTTATCATCTGCAACAACATTAAGAATAGGCAAGCTACTGAGAAATTCATCAAGCCCCTCAAAAAACCCAATCCCTTCAATATTATCCTCGGCATTTCCAGTCCCATTCTCTCCACTCAAACCAGGAACAGGCTCTTCCACCTCATTGCTAAACTCAACATTCAAATCCAACTTCCCCAAGTTCCTCTCACCCCTCCTCCTGGAAACCCCCAACACAGCTTTCTTGCTAGATTCCTGCTTCGGCCCAATGGGCACCGAAGAGGCTCCATCCACAGCCTCGCCATTACCCACTGTGCCATTGCCAGCACTATTATGAATCCCCCTTCTAGGTCTCTCAAATAGTGCACTTCTAACATCACTCCCACCGTCACCGGCCTTAGCAGCAGCAGAACTTTTCCTCTTCCTCCGCCTCCGCTTCTTCTTCCCCTTCTTATTTTCATTCACGTACCGCCAATCCTCATCATCGGAATCATCCTCCGTCGCGTCGGAAAGCTCCACAAAAGCAGCCGTGGCGTCGTCATCATAAAAAACCCAAGGCCCCTTCCGATACCTCCTATTGGAACCACCCGTCGCAGGACAAGGAAACAAAGGAGAAAAAGGGTTCCATTCGGAAGCAGAGCCACTAATATCCTTAAAATTTCCAGAAAACCCTAAAGGAAAAAACCCCCAACTGCAATATGAATGGTCTTTCGAAGTCAACCCCGGCGGTGACCGCACCACCACCGCATGAAACCCTCTCCGGCAACTCTGGCACCGTAGAGTACACTCCTCATAAACCTTGGGATACTCATACATAACATAACAGTAGGGACACGCGGTCCAGAAACTCGCCCCCTCGGTCTCACTCGGGCGAGGGAACTCGCTCACATTGTCATCGCGACTCGTCTTCTCTTCCTCCGTCACTGCACTAGGGCTTATCCTCTGAGGCTGTTGGTTGAGGTTCGGAGTGAGGTTAGCGTTCAGCGGCGGAATCGGAAAAAAAGCAGTCGGAGCCGGAGGAGCAGGCGGAGGCGGAGGCGGCGGAGGAGGAGGAGGGGGAGGAGGTGGTGGTGGTTGAGTTAGCAACCTAAGTTCGTTGTCGTATATGGCTTTCTTGGTGGGGTTGGAAAGAACAGACCAAGCGTCGTGAACGAGGGTGAAGGCATGAGAGGCGAAGGCGAAGGGGTTGTGGTGAGGGTCGAGGAGGATGGTGAGGCGGCGGTACTGAGCGGCGATGAACTCGATGTTGGGAGTGTAACGGAGGATTTGAAGGATGGCGTAATAGTCGAGGTGGCCGTTGATCGGAGGCTCGCCGGCGATGAGTGTGTCGATGACGGTGAGGAGTAGATCGGTCGGGTCGAATGTGGGGTCGGACTCTCGGGCCCGGATCGCGAATGAGCGAGCCCCGTGCAAGTCACGCGCGCTGAGTAGTTTGTTGGCGGTGTAAAGCCATCGCTCAGCTTCGGCTCTGTTGCCCCCTCCGTTACCGTCCATTTCAAATTTAATAAATAAAAAATGAATGGCTTACTGAGTTGTTTTGAGAGTGAGAGAAGTGGGGTGACTTTGAATGGACGAGAAAGGACTGGGTCGGTGGGGTGGCTTAGTTGTGGAGTGAGGGGTGTTTCGGTCATTTCGATGGGTGCTCTGTTTCCAAACGAGTATCACGTGGCGGTGGTGTTGGAATTAGATGGGTGATCGACATTGACCTTTTACAACGACAAAGGTAGGCCCCTTCTTCCCACATTTGACTTCCCTCGCCCTTTTCCACTTCTTTCTTCCTTTTTCATTTCAATTATAAATGTTTTAGGGAATAATTACTCCAACCATAACACCCTATCTACCTACCAAAACACGTATGGATTTACTTCCTAACTTTTTTAATACTTAGTTTAATTTTGTTTATTTAAATAATACATTTAATTTATTTTTAAAAAATTTTACTTAAATAAATAAACTAGATTTAAACTTCAAATCTATTAAATTTAATAAAATATTATATTTAAAATTTATAATATTATATTAAATAAATTATATTTTAAAATAAATAAAATATTAAATTAAAATTTTAATCCTTTGTTGAAATTACAGAGTGTCTTTATTTATGTTCTTATAGTTGTTTAAGTTTTTTTTTATCATAGTTACTTTTTTGTCTTATACATTTATTTGTAATTTTATTTTTTATATGTTTAAAAATTTATTTATTTAAATTAAATATATAAGTTGAAAGTAATAAATAAAAATATATAATTTTATTAAAAATATTTAAAATATAAAATTATTTTTTATAATTTATTTAAATATAAATTTTATAGTCTATACAAAAATATTTATTTATATAATTTGATAGTTTATTTATAAATAAATTTAATAATTTATTAAAAATTTTAATACAAAATAAGTTATTAAAAAAATTAAATATGTTAGAAAATAATTACTTTAACAATAATAACGTAAAAATAGTCAGAAATTTACCTCTTAACTTTTATAATTCTTAGTTTAATTTATTATTTAAATAATAGATTTAATATTAATTTTTTTAAAAAAATTAATTAATTAAATAAATTATATTTAAACGTAAAAAAATTATTAAAATAATAGAATAACATATTTAAAATTTATAAAAATATATTAAATAATTTTATATGTAATTTATAATATTATATTATATTAAATAATTTATATTTTAAAATGAATAAAATATTGAATTAAAAAAATTTAATCTTTTTGTTAAATTTATAGTGTCTTTATTTATATCCTTGGAAAGAGAGTGTGCTGTTTGTTTAAGTTTTTTATAATATTGTTACTTATCTGTCTTATATATATATATATATATATATATTTTTAAATATTACTTTATTAAAGATAATTTTAGAGTATAAGGAGTACTTTAATCCATTACAAAGAAAATTAACCATATATGTTAAAGAATCATTAAAATATAATTTATAATTGATCTTTCTAAAAGTCTTGCAGTAAGCAACTTCCAAAGTATATATTCTAAGTATTTGGTCAAAGTTGATTTTTTTTTTCCCCTCATCTTGTCAAGTTTATTTGCACTTTTATTTGTTGTATGTTTAATAATTCATTTATTTAAATTAAATATATGACTTGAAAGTAATAAATAGAAATATATAATTTTATTAAAAACATTGAAGGTGTTTTTATAGCTTATTTAAATATAAATTTTACTGTCTATACGGAAAAATTTATTTATATAGTTTGATAATCTATTTATAAATAAATTTAATAGTTTATTAAAAATTTAATACAAAACCAATAGAGGTTAATTCGAGTATCAAACAAATTAGTATCACTTAAGTAAGGTCACGAGTTTGAATTTTTGTATATACAAAAAATCTTCAGAGATAGATTTATTCACCATATTTAATTGTGCGATTTAGGTTATATCCGGATTAAAAGGAATGAAAAAAAAAATTAATACAAAATAAGTTATTAAAGAAATTTAATGTGTTAAGAAATAATTATACTAACAATGATAACATATCTCCAAATGAAAATACTCCAGAATCTACTTTCTAACTTTTTTTAATATTTAGTTCAATTTAATTTATTTAAATAATAGATTTAATTTAAATTTTTTCAAAAATTTTAATAATTAAATAGATTAGATTTAAATTTTAAAAAACTATTGAATATATATATATATATATATATATATATATAACACTTATTTATATTTTTACTTGTTTAATGTTTGCTGATATATTTATTTAAATCAAATATGTGACTAAATAAAAATATATAATTTTATTATAAATATTTAAGATGTTAAACTATTTTTTATAATTTATATAAAATTTATAAAATATAAATTTTATGATTTAAACTCTAAATCATAAATTTTAATACAGATTAAGTTATTAAAAAAATTAAATCAAACTTTTAAAAAAATTAAGTTAAATTAAATGATAAATCTATAACATATAATAAATTAAATTAAAATTTTAAAATTATTAAACAAGTTAGATTTATTTATAAGTTTACTTAACTTATTTTTATTTCTTAATGAAAAAAAAATCATTTTTTAAATCTCAAATATTATTCTTGTCTTTTTTTTATGTTAGTCTATTTTTATTTATGTTTATTGAGTCAACTTTTATTTTTTTATTTGAGTAATAGGAAATAAAAATACAATATCTTCTTTAATAATTTAAATTTTATTAACCACTTGAGTTGTCTCTACATATATTTATAATTGAAAAATGATAGCGTGGTCAAAATTAATTCCCAGTTTATATTTACCGTGAATATTAAGGTAGAGGTTGCGTTATAATTGGTCAACTATAACCAAAATATGTTCTCAATTTATGATTTTTATTAAACTCAACATTGACTCAAATTATCTCTGTTGCGTTAACCTCTAAATTATTGATATTTTTTAAAAATGTAAACCAACTATACTGGATAGGGGAACTGATGGACCTTACATGTAGAAAAAAGGAAACTAAATACCTACTCGGCTAGTCTGAATCAGTATCTCTAAAATTTAAAGATAAATAATAATTAGAATGTTATTCAAATCATGAATAGGGCCAAAAGTCAAGGTTGACTTAGGCCCATTAGCCTATTACAGTGCCTATAAAAGAAAGGTAGAAAGAGCAGGTAGGGGATTGACTTTTCATTATTGAATACCATTTATTACTCTGAACCAAATCCTGACTTCAACATCGGAGTGCCTTTTGCAGGTACCCTCCCACGTCAGCAATTATCCGAAGGACGCCAGATCAGAGGTTTGAAGAGAGCTGTTTCTCCAGAAGGAACATTTTAGCGCCCACCGTGGGGCCCGATTAACTTCATTTTTCAAGATTAAGCATGGTAATGACGAGAAGCCAGCAGGAAGGAACCTCTCGGCAACAAATGGAGGGCGTCACACCAGAGGAACCAGCACCTGAAGTGGTGATATAGGGAGGAACAGAGGAAAGCATTCTAGCTGTACTGAGGCAGCTTAATGCAGAAATGATGGAGATGAAGAAGGAGCGCGAAAGAGATGCACTGGAACTCTCGGCCCTAAGAAGAGAAAATGCCGGCTTAAGGGAAGAGATAAGGACACATGTCCCCTCCCAAACTACACCTGTCATCCAAGATCAAGGGGAATCCTCAGCGCTGCAAGAGAAATCAAGGCAAATCTATCAATCGGCAACCAAAAATGACCGGGACGATCTTGTGAACGGAGCCCATTCGTTCACCACATTCTAGAGGCTAAGATGCCCGATAATTGGAGAGGGTTGGCAATAGACAAATACGATGGCACATCTGACCCTGGAGAACACGTGGATGTCTTTACAACACAAGTCGGTCTGTATACAGAAACGACGCCTTATGGTGTAGAATTTTTCCTACTTCACTCCGAGGACCTGCACTCAGTTGGTTCACCCGACTCCCCCCTTTATCCATCGACTCTTTTGTGACTCTCACAAGACGTTTCAACTTGCAGTTTGCCACAAGCCGGCCTCATCCCTTAACATCCTTGGCCCTAGTCAATATTCGCCAAGAGAAAGGAGAATCACTTAGAGCGTTCATGGAACGCTTTGGCAAAGTGACTCTTTCAATTCATAACTTAGAACCAGCAGTGGCTATGCACCACCTCACAACAGCGTTAAAGCCAGGACCCTTCGTTAATAGCCTCTGCGAAAAAACCCTCGATTGACCTAGACGAGTTAAGGAGTCGGGCTGCGAAGTATATGCAGATGGAAGAATTATCCGAATACCGGAACCAGGTACGGATGGACCAAGGATCCAACTCAAAAAATGCAAAAAAGAGGGAAGCTTTTAAAGCAAGGCAGGGAAATATTAAGAATGCCTAGACGCGCCAACACTCCTCCTCGGACAGATAAAAGTAAGTCTTGCCGATACCATCAGAACAGGGGTCACACTACCGAGGAGTGTACAACACTTAGAGACAAAATTGAAGAATTAATTAAGGACGAATACTTAAAAGATTTTGTACAGACGAATCCCGCAAGACAACCTAACAAAGGAAGAGACCGTCACCCTGAATCACCAAGGAGATCTGACGGCAAAAAATTTGAACAACATAGGAGCAGGTCCGGAGAACCTCCAGCTAGAAGATATGAGCAAGAGAAGTATCCGAAAAGGGTCATTAACACCATAGCCGGAGGGTTTGCTGGTGGAGGACCTACCCATTCGGCTAGGAAGAGGCATCTCAGGCATGTCCATTCGGTTAATAATGTTTCATTGCGCAGCAGAATCTGGATCCCGCCTATTACATTCACTGACGACGACTTTCAAGGAGTCGATCCGGTGCAGGATGATCCCATGGTAATTAGTGTAGACATTCTTAACTGCATTGTTCAAAAAACACTAATCGACCAGGAGAGCTCGACCGACATCCTGTATTGGAATACATTTAAGCAATTAGGCATCTCGGAAGAAGAGCTCAAAGAATATCACGGACCGTTGGTCAGTTTTTCTGGAGAACGAGTAGAGACTAAGGGGTGTATTGACTTGTATAC